TTTCAACATATGAATTTTGGGGAATGAAACAGACAATGACAGTCCCCAGAGCCACTTCCAGGCTACAGCAGAGAAAGGTCAGCTGTACAGAACCATTCCCAAAGATGACCAGCATGGGTGGGTGAAGAGCCAGCTGTGCTGAGGGGTGGGGAAATCTCTTCATCCAGAATGAGCCTCCCTCCCCTTCTGCGCTGCTCCCAATATGGAGAAGAAGCCGGGGGATTCTATGCTGAGGAATCCAATCACCCAGCAGAACAGATGGGGACAGGTGGGGACCCACTCTGTCCCACCACCCATGCTGAGACCTGTGAGAGGCAGAGGCAGCCATGAATACACTGATTCTTAAGCATAAGTGCCCAGCCCTGGGTCTCCTGTGAGGGACTGGAGATCTGGTGAGCTGGGGCCCAGGGCAGGGGTGAGGTCAAAAGGTTCCCAGGCCACAGCATGACAAGGACACCTGGTGTGGGCCATGGTGCTGCCTCCTAGGGAGAGCAAGTGTCACCAGAAACCTCGTGACTGCAGAGGTTATTGGAGAGTTTGGGATAAATAAGAAAATAAAGGGCTGCATTTAAGACTCAGCTGCTATTGCAGGGACTGAAGGAGTCACCGACATCAAACAACTTAGCCAGAGTTATAACATAACGTGTCAGGGACGGGGATGTCAGCAGGAAGGTGACTTCTTAGCTTCTGAGGACAGCAGATGATGAGTGGACAATCCTCTCTCTTAGGGTTAGGGTTACCGCGTGCAGCCATACTAGCTGCTGGTAATACCAAGGAACTCCTGGTGAGCACAGAGACAGCACCACACCTGGGAGCAGGAGCGTCCGTGCTGGGAGGGCCAGGCTACCAGGGCTGTGTGCAGGAGCTGGTCCTCCACAGGACCCGTGCACCCTGTGCATGGCAGTTGTACTGTTTACTATGAATGTGGAAAAGGAAGGAGAACGAGGCTCAGGAGAGTGCAGAAAGTCTCACCGACACAGGTCAGAGTTCTTTCCATCATTGCCATATCAAAACCTTAGGAATCAAGAAACTTTGCTGGTCACCCGATGAGGCTAGACAACCGCTAAGTAGTGAGAATGGTGCAGCTGTGCTGTGGGACTCCCCCTCAGAAGCCATAGCAGCTTGCCTGCTGCAAGTCTCCAGGCAGGATGGGGTCACCCAGCTGTGGTTGGAGCTGAGGGGCCAAGGACCAAGGATGGGGCGGGAGGAGGCCCTGCAGACACAGGGACCCTCATGGGGCATTGCAGTGGCAAATTCAGGTGGGTCCTGGGACATGGGACAGCCTTGAGCCCTTCCAAGCAAGACTAGGAAAGGAACACAACATTCCCAGGAGGAAATAAAATGACTTTGAGGAAAGTTTTTGAAAAAAGAAACTTGGTATGAAGTAAGCAAATAGTTGGCTATGAACTTTTTTTTTTTTTTGGCGGTACTGGGGTTTGAGCTCAGGGTCTCAAGCTTGCTAGGCAGGCTGGTGCTCTACCACTGAGCCACACCCCCAGTCTAGCTATGAACATTTCCAAAATAACATTTTTAGAAAGCCTTTTGTTCCACACTATGGTCAGTGGCAGACAACCTGAAAATGTGACATTGCTGTCCCTGATCTGACGTTGGGTAGTGACCTACACCTGACGCACACTGGGTCATGAGACAACATATGAGAGTTCACCTGACAGTGCACGGATGTCACCCAGCTGCTGAGCAGCCTGAGTCTGACCCTGACTCAGTGACAGTGGCCCTCACTGATTCCTAGCTGAAGGAGGTGAGGCAAGGGGGGCTGGCCAGGCCACTGTACTAGGAGTTCTTCCTTTAAATTTCTGCAAATCTGTGAATATTTTCATCCATGATGGTAAGTTTTATGTGTGACTATGTAGGCTAAGGGTCTGTCACTAGCAATACTTTTACATGGTTAAGACAGGATTTTATTTTTAATGACAGCATTTAAAATGCCTGTGGGTTCCAGCAGACTAGCCCTAAACTGTCTCTTTTTCCTCCTGGATGTTTCATTACCACTCACACGCGTGTACAGACACACATGAGCCCCCACACTGGCAGGGGACTGGTTTCATATAATTTCGCCTGCCCTTCTGCAGGGTCCAGAGCAGAGACCCAGCTTTGAGTATGTTGGGGACACATTTTGGCCCATGGATTGGAAAGCACAACATTAAACAGGAAACATAGCATGCTTTGATTTACATGGGTGTGTTTTGTTCTTCCATCTTGATTATAACCTGATGACTCAATTGTACAATAAATCTTTAGACTTCAGAGTAATCTGATTTTATTCATATATGCATGTACCTCAGTTATCTGTCATATAAAGTAGGTATTCAACAAGAAAGGATATGAAAAAGGATGAATAATTATAGGTCAGTTTAGAAAGCCAGAGTGACACCCGCTGGGTTTCCTTTTTTGTGAGGACTGAGTGAATGCAGGTGTGTGGCTGGTCTCCATCCAGCTGCCCACTGGCACTGGTCCCTGGGGAATCAACCCATTCACCATCTCATTCATAAAATTCACAAGCCAGAATATTAAAACAGAATCAAACATTTTCCAAGTGCACAGTCTCTTCTCCAAAGAAAGTCCACACTCCACTCTGGCACAGTTAATGATTCCATTTCTCTACTGTTGACAGGTACCATTCTCCTCTCCTGACAGAGGCACTCACTCAGTGAAGACCCCACTCTGGAGGGGCCCTGGCAGACCAACAAGACTCTGACCTTGCCTCTGTAAGTGACGGTGGCATCAGGGTCCGATGACACTGCTACAAAGCAAGTTGACCATGACCTTTGACCCCATTCTGGTTCATACTGAAAATGGGATGGTCCAAAGAAAGCCCAGGCTTCTTTCTCAAAGATTGTTAATTATAGGCCGTGAATATGAAAATAGAAGCGGTTGCCTGTTCTTGCCTTTTAACCTTGTACCAGGGCGAGTGCACTGAATTCTTCCCACCAGCATCTAGGACTTCTAGGGCACCCTGATGACCAGGCTCCATGGAGGAAGCAAGGGGGACAGTCCTCCATCTCAGCACCACACGTGTCTACAACCCAGATCACTCCCACGTAAACACTCAGCTCGTATTTACCACTCTCCCTCACCCTCTAATTTTATTTAAAATAAAAGCAATCGGTATGGTGACTGCAGCATTGATTTGCAAATGATAACAGTCCTTGGATGTAAAGAAAATCCCACCCCACAGAAAGATGCAAAAGTGTGTACTTCTTATTCACTGTTTGGAAGCCTCTGACTTCATAATTTTAAAAATGTTATATAAGTTCTCTTAAGTATATGTCTGGATTTATTTTAAAAATCCTGTCATGAACAAGCAGGAAGGTAAACCTCTCAAATCTAGGATGACGGTGACAGCACTGGGCACTTCCTGTTGGGCCTCTCACAGGGGCTGGGTGAGGTGAGTGGACCCTTGTCTTTCCACCTGAGGACACCAGCGCACCTAGGGAGTGACCCCCACCTGAACCCCAGGACTGTATCCAGCTTGAGTCCTCCTCTACCACTGTTAATCTCTGTGGGAGAACCGCAGGCCATTTGCCAGTAACTGTCCTAAAGACACTAATTGAGAGCCTTTGATTTACAGAAAAAGCATCATGGACACCAATGCCAGCAGATGCGTTAGGACAAAGGTCAGGTGACTTCTCATCTAGAGAAGGAGACACAAAAGTCAGTGTGAGGCGGACAGCCACAGCCACGTGGAAGTCCTGTCACACTCAGGATCTTGCTGGGTTGGTGCTGAGAGAGGCCTTTTGTTGGTTTCACAGGGACCTAAATGGGAGCCCATGCAATGATTGAGCAAACAGGGATCCAAAGTGATTATTGGGTGCTTCCTGGAGTACCTGCTGTCCATCACCCGGCCTGCACCTGAGGGAAGGTGTGGGCACAGCTCATTAGTTTTGGAGACTGAGCAGTGAACATCGTATTCCAAGACAATGGGCTGCCTGGTTGCAGCTCCTGGCTCAGAGCCTGTTGGGTACTGTGCCTGGATGACACTCACAGGCCTCTGCTCCAACTGAGGAAGAGGGAATGTGATGCAAAGAGTGACAAGCTCTCTAACCCAGACATAACATCAGCATAGCAGACAGTGAGACCATCAGGGAAAAAAACCAGGTAAAATGCAGAAGACTTTACCATGGCTGAGAAACTGACGTCGTCACCCAGGAGCTTAGGGAACGTAACTCAGTACGGTGCTAATATCGATAGAAATACTTCTTCAGCATTTAAGGACTGTGGATCTGTCTGCTCTTCAACGTTAGTTAAAACAAAAGCCTGTGTGAGGCTGGCATTGGTCAGGGCTCTGCTACGTGTTAACAATAGACCTTGGCAAGAAACGAAGAGGAGAAAAGTCACAATCCTGTGCACTACTGGCCACAACCTCAACCATTCACCGGTGGCACCTGTTTCACGTGGAAGACTGGCTTTGGTACTGGACTTATCTGTATTCATGGTGAACAGGAAATAAAAGCAATCCAAAAACAAACCACACCAGGGAGATCTCAGCAGAGGAAAAATACATTGTATCGACCAGCAAGGCAAAGGTGGAAGGCTGTGCATTTTGTCCACTTGGCTGTGGCTCACAGGGGATGTGAATATTCGGCAGACACAGTCAAGAAGGACGCTCACTTCCGTGGAAAGCAGTAATGATTACTGTGTAGGTGTAAAACAGAGTGTGGCCAGACTGTGATGAGAGCCCATAGCTCCCTCCAAGACCCACAGTCACAGCTAAACTGGCTTAAATCACATGGGGCTATCAGAAACTAACATGAAACTGACATGGTCACAGAACTAAGTCATGGGGCCATAAAACACAGCAACAAAGGAGAGTTAAGGAGCAGTGTGTAAGAGGAGGCGTCCTCTGGGCTCTGTGTGGGCAGCTGCAAGCCTGATTGCATTGCAACCTATTGCGTTTGCAAAGTGATTTTCTGGCAGGGAGAGAGCTCCAGGCGTAGCAAGAAGTCACACTGCAGAGAGAAGGTAGTCAAGGTCAGTTTCATTCAGAAGCAGCACTCCTGGTTTCCACGTGCCACATTCTGCACATCCAGCTCACTGAATGCGACCTCAGCGGTGCCTTGATTCTCTGACTGCTTTACCTCCCTGGCTGTGTCCACGTTCTTCTGGTGGTGCAGGCGGATGGCAATGGCCACAGTGCAGAGCAGGACAAACACCACCAGAGCGATCACACCTGGGGTGGGGAGGGAAAGTCCAGAGTCAGAACAGGCTTGCAACCCTGTACCCAGATACAGTAGGGTCCCAGGACGACCCTTACCTTCTCTGCCCTGTCCTACCATCCCAGAGGCAAAAATTAAATATTTTACATACACCAAGTCTCTATTTTATTATAAATTGGGAACAGCAAGACTTCGAGAATTCTAGGTTAAGTGGCATCATTATATTTGGTTTACTTTTGATTCTGTTTCATGCCTTTCCTGAAATTATGTAGAGAATTTGTTTACCACCCCAGAAGAAAGTTGAAGACACTGCCCTCAGCACATGCACTGCTTATGTTAACAAGTAGACAGACTCAATTTTTAAAACCCAGAGGCACCATGTCCTCAAAAAGTTTTCAGTATTTTTGCCAAGGAAATTACATTGTACACATTTTAATGAAATTGTCATAAAATAATTTGGGCAGGCCATAGTGTAGTACAGTAAGTACATGTGAATCTACATGTATGTGTCTGGCTCCTCCTAATCTTACTGTGGGAAAATATGGGGTGTGGGAGCCTCTAGAGTCCCCACTTGACAAGTCTTGATGATTAAAAGCAATGCCTGTGTTTCTCAGCCCTGCTGCATATTAGGCAAATTTAATGGAAACCTCTGGGTGGAAGAAATACATGATTTTGGAAAACTTTCCAGTGATACATACACAATCTATATTTGAGAAACACAAAGCTACATTGAAGCAGATATATGTTGAAGCTGTCACACTCATGAAAATTTAGAGATCAAATGTTAGTTGCAGAGTATTAATAAATGTGATGTGTGAACTAAGGACCATTAGTGCACCAGTTTTATCAGTAAACAGGAAATGCAGGACTAACACAGCCAGGGAAACAGCACATCTGTAAAGCAGGTCTGATCAGTCCTTGTGAAGATGGCTGACCAGACCACAGTGGAGCCCAACTGACCTGAGGCTCTGACTGCACTGGGGATGTGTGCTGATCTGGGCAGAATCCTAGGGCAACCTGAACTAAAAGTACTGAGTCTGGACAGTCTGTATGTCAGCATACATGTGACAAGGATGTGCTGCTGAGCCCAGCACAGAAGGGGTGACAAAGGCTCTCAGGTTGGGAGGTATTTCACCTCTTGTCTTGGAATACACAGAGGAGGGCCTCTCACTAGAGGCAGAGGTGGGCTCTGGTCAGGAGCAGGCATTCCATCAAACACAGGCTGTGCCCGGGGGACAGGTGGCCATTTGCAATTTGAGATTGTCTCATTGTTGGACATTTTTACACTAATAATCCCTTAAACAGGTGTTGGTGAAATTGATTATTTATATTGAGAAGCTCCAAGGAGATTCCAAGGTGACTCCAGGACTGCATCAGAAAATAAGTACAACACGGAAACTCGCCCAGACCTGTGCTACTCGGCACAGAGCTTGGGAGGGGAGGGTGCAGACCCTTACACTCTCCCACAAACCACCCTCACTCAGGGGACAGCCATGCCCCGAGTCACCTCCAATCACAGCTGAGTCGCCCCTGGAGGCCTCCACTAGGGGTTGCCCCACATCCACCGGACCAGAGTGCTCTGCAGAAGAAAGATGGAGGCAGCAACAGTGAGAAATTCAGATGTAAACTTTGGGGGATATCCTTCTAGAATTGGGGTTTGTGCTGTTTGTTAACTTCAGGATAAGAAGTCACAGTGAGGCCACATCCACATCACATGTGCACAGGTGGGGGTGAGACTCTATGTCACACATGCACAGATGAAGGTGAGACCATGTCCACATCACACACACACAGGTAGAGATGATACTGTGTCTATATGACCATGTACAGGTGAGGGTGAGACTGTGTCTGTGTCACACATGCACAGGTAGAGGCGAGACTATGTCCACATCACATGTGCACAGGTATGGGTGAGACTGTGTACTACATAGGAACAGCCAGCAGGGGGACCCTACCCCACATACATGGGTGGCGGTGAGACTGCTTTCATTTCATGTGCACAGGAAACAGTTCCACTTGCAGTAGGGAGGATGCAAGGGCTGGGAGGTGAGAAGCCTGCCAGGCCCTCTCAGACCCACCTGCCTGTGCGGGTGTCTGCTCCCACGCTGTGATGTCTCCTGTGGATGCTCCACAGTTGGATGCTGTCACTGGTCCCTGTACTGAGGTGTGCTCAGTGTGTAGCACAGCCTTCAGTGGGGCCACATGTCCAAACTGCAGTGTGGACAGGCAGCCCACAAAGCCATGTGTGCCAGCCTGCAATGTGTCTGTGTCCAGGTGGCCCCCGGGCTCTGTAGAGAGGAGGTGCGTTAGTGGGGCTCAGGAGCAGGTGTGGTATCAGTGGGAGGGTCAGGGGTGTCAGTGGGGTAAGGTGGTCCTGAGGACATTGGTGGCCCTGGGGACACCACGGGCACAAAAACCTGCAGAGCCTGGACAGTGACTTGATTCCAGGGCACATTGCTAGGCCTTGGCTCATCTCCCTGGAGAAGTAATTTCAATTAACCACAAAATGAATACTAACAATAGCAGTAAAACAAACCAAGCAGTTGAAAGAAGACACAGTTCAGATTTACAATTCTGCTGCTAATCAACGAGGCAAAATTATGCACAAAAATAATGGATTGGTGTTTTCAAAGCTACAGTAGTGATGCCTTTATTGGTCTGTTTCATTAACAACATTACAATTTGTGATTTTGACCCTGAACTTTTTCAGACTTAACAATGAGTTTGTCAAAATTGACTTGTGCAAGGTCATGTTCAGTGACAATCACTGGATCTGTGTCTACTCAGAGACGTTCAGAGAGCACTTTGGGTTCTGGCTCATTGTGTCTCTGCTCCATCTCCCACCTGCAGACCACACTCAGCCTCCCTAGCATGGCACCCTCTCCACCCTTGAGATGGGTGTTTGAGGGCAGCCTCAGTCTTGTGAACCTTTGTTTCAGCCTGAAACCCCCATGGCCACCTGTAGAGCTCACACGTTTTACCCATGTCTTGGCATTTTTACCAATGCCTGGGGCTCATGGATGCCTTTTGCCTGCAGCTGTGGGGACCTGGTCCCTCTGGCTTTGTCAACAGACATTAACTCTCACTGTTCTAGAGACTCAAGCCTGAGAAGAAGGCACAGGCAGATATGGGGTCTGGGAGAATGTCTTCCTGGCTTGTGGACAGAGCCTTCTCACTATATCCTCAGGTGGCCACAGTCCTGAGGCAGGTGCATGTAAGAGCTGTCCATCTGTGTAAGAGATTGTCACACGTGGGGTCCCACCTCAGGATGGAATCACCTCTCCCAATCCTAACACCATTCCACTGGGAGCTGGGCTTCAGCTTGTGGACCTGGGGACACAAACACCTGGTCTAGGTCCTTGGTTGTAACACTTTCTCTCTTGGCTGTTCGAGTAGCTTCAGGGCTATTCTTGGGAAATGGGTGCTATGCCAAGGCCTGCCCCTCTTCCCTGTGGTGGAAAACATCTGCCTGTCTCCATTCTGCCTGGGTCCTGGAGACCATTGGGCACCTTGAGTTCCAGGCTCCAGGGATGCCACAGAGCCTTCTCAGGCCTGGGGCAGATTCATCCTAAGACTCCTCCAACCAAGGGAGACATCTGGGGTTTGGGGAGTGCCTCACCCTGCCTCTGCCTGCTGACTGGGCTGACTTCACCACTGTGCAGGACAGACACCAAAACGTCGTCTTCTCTGAAACGCCTGCAGCAACACCCAGTGGTGCTTCCTTCAGCTTAAGCTTTTTAAAATCAGTAAGTGACACGTTTTTATTTGCAGAAGAGTGTTTTATGTACATGGGTGTTCTTATGTACTTATGCAGACAGAATGGAGGGGCTGTGCATGGAGCCTCTCAGTGTTGTTGACAGACCCAGCTGGACTTAAGGACATGGGGTCCTGGGGTGGTCCAGCTTTGAGGTGTGATGCATGTTTTCTGGTAAAACTGTGTAGGTTATTTTAAATGAAGACAGAGTTATGATTTCAAGATTTTTTTCTATAGGAAATCAAGCTTCTGAAGTCTCAGGTTACACAAACTCCTGACAATTCAGATTTTTTGGTACCTTTCTGATTTCACAATTCCTGTGAGTTATGTGTCCCAAGAAAGGCACAGCCCCACTTCTTCAAAGACATCTTTTAACGACAGGACTAGAAGAGAAGCTGGGGCGTTAAACCCTGTAAGGCACGCTTCTCTGCTGGGCACTCTGGAGGGCTGGGCAGCACCCGGAAGGGGCAGCAGGGAGTGCTTGGCCCCTCTTGAGCAATAAGATGTCGGGAAGAAAAGCCAGTGATCATCTCACACATGTTCACTGAAAGCGGAAGCAAGGAAGAGGCACAGGGGCGCTTCTGCCCCTCTATGTTATGTCTGTGCTGCCAGAGCCAGACTTGCGGCCTTGGGCTTGGGTGGGATGGGGCTCTGGGCACAGTCAATGCTCTCTCCTGGAGTAAACTGTGTGCCATGGTCCCGGCCTGTGCTGCTGTGCAATGGGGACTGTGACTTCTCTCGATGCACACTGTCCTTCCAGGTTCACAAGGAATGCAAATGTCTCATGGACACAAAACTTGGAGACATCTTAGGAGCATCACATTGTCTCTCTCTTGGAACCACAGAACCCCATGGGCAGAGGGGCCTTAGACACAAAGAAGAAGACCATGGTGACATAATTCAGAACGCCATGGCTTTCAATGACTAACTGTGTACATTGTAGGACCTTAGAATTTTATATTGAGAGGAATCTTAGAATTACTGCAGCATATTTTTATCACACTGTGAAAATGCAACCATCTGTGTTGAGTACCAGTCACTGTTCTGAGTGCCCATTTGCTTCTTACGACCACCCAAGAGCTAAGGTTGCCGCCATCATCACCTTTCACAGATTATTGCCCTGAGCACAGAGAGGTTAAAGTAACTTGCCCATGCACGCACAGCCAGAAGACAAGGGGTACGAAAGTTTCTGGGAAAAGTCGGTGGACCTGCTGTTGCTCTGGTCCTTCCTGGCCACATACACAACTTCAAATCCATTCTGAAGCTCGCCATGTTCTTGTATCTTTCCTGTTCTGCAATATTTCTTTCAACTGGTCTAGTGGTTACTGGTAACAGACATTTAGGGCCTGTGGAGTCTATCAAGGTGCTTGCAGAACCAGGTTTGGGCCATCTTCCCATTAAGGCCTAAGAAGTTGGACCCCAGCCCTGTTGCCCTCACCTGGAGACTCCTTTTGCTCACCTGAGCATAGCTTGGGGGCTGAAGGGAGGCCGTTTTGCTCTGTGACCTTTGTAAAGCATTGGATTTTTGTTTGATAGAATTTATTTTTTGCTTCTTCATTTTGTTTTATAACTTGTAAAAATCAGATACTTCAGAATCCTGATCATACAAAATTCTGGTGTCACCACATCAACAAGAAGCAACAGTGTCATGATTAGGTTAAAGTGCATTACAGCACACACCCTGGCTCAAGGCCAAGCAGTTTGCACCTGAAGGAACATCACTCCTAAAAGACTGAGCAGAATCTGACCATGTGGGATCAACAAGGAGGACCTCAGGGTGGATCAGCTAAGTGTGCACTGGACTCTGATGTGGACTCTGGGCTATTGTGTCTGACCAGAGAGCCACTGGTGACCTGATCGGGCCATGTCCTTGTCCACCTCTGCTCCTATGCCTGAGAGAGTCCACCTGCATTGTGGGCTCAGGAGCTGAGGAGATGAGGGACAGAGGAACCATGAGCACTGGGCTCTCAGCAGGAACGGTGCGTCTGACCTCAGTGTTGAACCCTCTGCCCACCAGAAGGCAAGGTGAGCTGAGACCTGACCCTGGGACTTCATGGGCCTCGGTGATGGGGTGCCTTATGGTTCTGCAGATCTGGAATGTAATATGGTGGGTTTTGTGGGCTTACAAAATGGTTTTATTAGGCTTATGGCACAACAAACTTTAAAAAGAAACTATCAAAACATGAAAAGTGTCATATCTTTGTTGAAATCCAGGCCCAGGCCCATGGTAAGTGAACAGTTTTTTACAGTTTCTTGGAGTCCAACTGCTTCCAGCTACAAATTCAATGCTTTCCCTCACTTTTAGAGTCTGAATAGTGGGCCCATGAATACAAAATTCTTGAATGAAAATGAAATTGACACCTTCAATTCCACCTGACATGCAAAACTCCTTGAATTGAAGGAAATGTATGGATAGGAATGTATATACCTAATTTTGAATTTTATTCATTCTTTATGGTTGCACAATATAGTCACATTCCTGGTTTGTTACCCAATGACTCCCCATCGCTGCACAGAATCATATCCCAGCAACTTTGACGTTTGTTTATAAGTTGTGTTTGTAACAAATTCTCTTGTCAAAGTTTTAAAATCCTGTTTGATGCTTTGTATCTGTGCTGTACTATTTCTGTGTGCATCTTCTTGCTTGGGTTGTGGAGCGTGTGTGTGTGAGTGTGTGGGAGAGCATGTGTGGGCTTATAAGTGTGTGAGCATGGGTGTAAGCATAGGTATGCACGTGAGCACGTGTGTGAGTGTGCATGTGAGCACATGTGAGCACGTGTGAGCATGTGTACGAGCATAAGCTCTGTGTAAGTGTGTGATGCTGTATGACCTCAGTTCTCAAGTCAGCTTGCACACGTAAGCAGTGCTTTCCATACATCACTTTTCTTCTACCCATTGTCACAGTCTGGTGGAACATTGCCACTCCTGACATTTCCCCAGTGGGTTGAAGAATGGGAAATTACACTTCTGGTGCCCAAGACAGAGTTTGAAACCTTAGTGCTCATCCTTTTCAATGACTTCTGTCAGCTGGCCATGTATGGTGTAGGCACACAGGACTTTAGGATTATACGTGAGGAGAAATGTGATTGCCTACTGAATATAGGCACAAAAAGGGGAAAGATTAAAAATTACGTTAGGAAGAAATGCATCACATTAGTGCCAAAACAAGACCAGAAATACGAAAGACCTCAAGACCTCCCAAGAATATGTGGACGTCTGTGACATCCACGGTTTATTTAAATGGAATGCAAAACTCTTTAGAGTCACCTGCCTTTCTCATGGTTGTTTTGGGAAGTGGAGAGAAACAAAGGTGGCTATCAGCTCTACTATAACCAGGGTGACTGCCCAGAGCGCACATCACCGACCGGCTCAGGCTCTGTTTTGACAGAGATTTGTCCCCACCCTCCAAGCACTGTCCTTAGCTAAAGGATAGCATATGCTTTTCAAATTTTTCCTTTCAAGCGTCATTCTACAAGGCCTATGGGTTGCCATTGTCGATCTGTAATCTGCATTACCTACGCCTGCCTCAGTTACTCTTGGGGAGGGAAGAAGTCACAGCAGGTCCCAACCTGATGGCCACAGTGCATGTGGAGTGCTCCCTGTGGAGTGCCTGATGTCCTCCTGTGTAGGCCATGCCCTGGGCCCTGCAAGCCCTGGGCAAGAGTGATTTCTGTGAGGTGGGCAGAAGTGGTACATCGGCATAAACAAGGGACAGTCTTCGTGTTAGTGGCCTGGTGCTGTGACCCGTGGAGGGTTGAGGAGGGCTCTGTGTCTACTTGCCTAAAATCCTGCCCAGCACGAGTGATTTGATGGCCTTGAATTCCATGCCCGATGACAGACTCACTTGTCTCCACTCTTTCTGGTTCACCTGCCCAGGAGAAGTGAACATCAGCACATTTCTCATCCATTATTGACAGGGAGGCAAAAATAAAATAAGAATGATTTGAGAATGGTGGAGTGGCTCAAGAGGTAAGAGTGCCTACCTAGTAAGTATAAGGTTCTGAGTTCAAGCCCAATGGTAGCTAAATAATAAATATATATTTTTTAAAGAATGATTTTAAATAGCTGCTGTGGCTGCCCACAATGGAAGTGCCTGAACCTAAGTAGTGCCAGGTCTCAAGGGAGAATGAATGCTGGCCCATTAGCGAAGGCTGTGTCACAGACACCCCATTCCCACCTGTTCTTCAACCCCTGTGTTTTTCTTCATGTCCTTGTTACTTAACAATACAACATGGATGATCTGTAATGGGTAGAACCCACAAAGAGATAAGAAAGCTCAAGGTTTTGGGTTCAAGCCCTAAGCTTTTACATATCTCAAAAATAAAACCTGAAACACCAGACCCAAATGTGCTACATTCATGTACAACAAGTGTGCCAACACCTGTCTTCAAAAGTCCTGGTGGGGCATCACACCATTTTCTGTACCACGACTGTGCCCTATTTTGTTGGAGATGTGGATTTTGATCAAAATCATAAGCTATGTAAGGAGGCAGCCCTTTTGAGTGTCACGATGCTCATACTCTGTGGATTACTGTTGGGAAGTCATTGAAAAGGCACTGCTAGTTATGCACTGGGGGAAGTAGACCAGTTCCCAGGAAGTGAATTCAGTAACAAAGCAACAATGTAAGCAAAGTTTCCTACTGTGTTATCAGATTCCAATTGCTAAGTGAAGGAACAGAAAGTCCAGGCTATGTTCAACTTCTTGTCTGTGACATATGGGACAGGAGCCTCAGAATAAACTCATGCCCCATGTGGGAAGCATTGCTTTGGGGATGCTGCTGGGGCCTGTGACCTCCCTCCTGTGCGGTTGCACCTGCTGTTACCTGGACGGAGACCACACTGTCTTCCCTGCTGATCTCCACATGGTGGAAGTTCCCATCAGCCAGGTTCTTGAAATTGAAGCTGAAAACATCGGGACCTTTGTGTATATCCAGCTTGTACCTGATCTGTAAACTCCCTAAAGCAGGAAACAATGACACTTTTAACCAATAAAATGTTTTTGTGACTGCCTCTTTGCACTCCAGAGGAGCTAACGTTGCTCACTTACTCCTAGGAACACTTTCTTTGAGAGTGAATGGGGGTGTAACCCTCTTAGCCATCTCTGCTCTGGGGCTGCTGGGCTCCTGGGTTGTTGGACTCATCTCCCCTTCCAACTGTGCTATTTTAAGGTCTAGCCAAAAGTTGTTGGTACCAAGACCCTCTTTCCTCCTTAATTTTATAATAAAGTGTGAATGCACGATAGAGCCTAAAGTTCACCCTACGTTTGCAAAAGCATTGTATTAAATGCAGGGTTGAACTTTGTGAGACACTGGAATTACTTTGTACAGTCTTGTCTTCTTTGAATGCACTTCCGAATTCCTGAAAGATGACTCACAAGGATGCAGAGCTGTCTCTGGGAGCTGCTTGCAGCCTTGTGGCTTTGGGTACCTGAGGGGCCATGAGGCCAATTCCAGGTGGCGCCTGTGGGCCTTAAGCACTGACATTGAAATGGACCCTGTCGCCCTCTGGGATTGACCCTTTGTGCTTGTGTGAGGTTGATAAGTCTGCTGCTGTGTGTCACGGCAACTTCCAGGGTGTTTCTGAGCTCCCCCTCCCACTTATGAGCTTGACAATTCTTAAGCCATGATAAGCCTAAATATTCCTACCATATTCCTATATATCCTTTGGGTGCTAAAACCCTGGGGCCACGTTTGAAGCAGCATGTTGTTTGACCAGCATGTTGTTTTAACTAGTCCTAAAATCTGTACCCATAACCAGGAAATGGAAACTAGATATAGGATGTGTTTTTTCCAGGACACAAGGTCTCTGTGTGTCATGGGTGACACAGCTTTAACTCCCCAGGAGAGTCACCCTGTGCCTTTGGTTGTATGATGGGCTGCACTAAAACTCTGCTAGCTAGAAATTTTTGCAAGTTTTCCCAGATCTTAAGTAAGTCCCTGACATCCCATTTAAGTAAGAGGCTGAAAGCCATGGCCCTGTCTCTACCATGGACATGATGGTACGCCTGCTGGTTGTAACTGGACTGTCATCTCCCCATAGACAGGGCACAGGCCACTTCAGGACCATGGCTGCCCCTCAAGGTGCCTGGCTCCCTGGCCTCCCCTTTAATTCTTTGCTCAGAAGGAGGAATTATTTTCCACATTTAACTAGACGCCTCATACTTTTAAAAAAGACCTTCCAGGGATGAATGGTAAGAGTTCCAGTTAATGAGGTATCAAAATAAAATAACTTTTACAGATGAGACAGTGCTAACGTGGTTCTGCAATGATGTCTGTGCGACAATTTGCTTATGGCCTTGAAAAGTAAAACAAATCAACCTCTGGAGAACATGCCATTTCTTTCTCACTCAGAACTAGAGGGGCTTAAATATGAAAACTTGGTGTTGTAACAGTTCTAACAATTAATTTACTTTTCTAACACTCAAACACACGCACCATTTCTGGCGAGGGTGATGGAAAGGTAGGTCTTGTGGAAGGAGTCCACGTAGAGCAGCAGGCTTGGGGTTGCACTGTGCGGAAGCTGAAGGACATGGTCTCTCGGGTCAACTTCTTGTCCCCATGGAATGATGCCACATGGGGGTTGGGGTTTGAGCTGAAGGGATGATATTCCTGAAAGTTGTAAGTCATTGAGGAGCCGGTTCCAAAATATGCAGAAATTTCTGAAATAATATGCACATTTTAAAGTTATAAAAGGCTGATGGTTAACTTTAATATACAGATATTTGAATTATTTTAATTCTCAGAACATTTTAATAAGTAAGAGAGTGGCACATGTTATAAGTGCTCCTATATTTCAGAAATGAATGTCAAGTTGATGGCTGGAGCCCTCAGGAATGTCCTTGAGAATTCCCTCTGCATCACGTGCTCCATCATGGCCTTGTCCCCAGCTCCAGGCTGGAGCCCAGGGTCCTGGCCACCATGGGTTTATCTTCTGCCCCTTCCCTTCAGGTTCTCTGTGTTACTCTTTGCATTTCAGGAAGCAGTCTTCCTCAGGGAAAGGAAGGAGAGGTCCGGGGTCAACATGCCCCTTGTCTTAGCCCCACTGAGAAGGAAGACTGTGCTGGGGGCACCACCATGGTATGACAGATGGAGGGAAGGTCACTCCTCATCAGCATGCCCTGGGGACATTAGCTCTTCATGATCTATTCCTAACTGTGTTGCCAGCCTCTAAACAGGATCCCCTGCCTGCCATGGCTGCCACCCCACTCCTGCTGTGACTGTGAGACTTGGGAGTCAGCCAGGACTTGGGCAGTCATCCAGACTTGGGGCTCTTTCTTTCTGCTTCTTAGTTTCAGATGATCTAAATCTATAGCTGCCCTTCCTTTGGGCTCTGGGAGGGAGCATTCCCTGGCCACTGTACCCTGCAGAGGTTACTAGGTCTCCTGGCACAACCGAAGTGGAGATGGTGCTTGAACGGTGCAGCTCTGTTCTGAAGAGTAACTTATGTAACTGTGTTCTGACCTTTTCTAGGAAGCTAGTTCTTTTGAAAATCAAGAGCTGATGCGATTTGGTATCCAAGTTTGAACCCCAAGTTCCAATGGAGTTTCAAGTGCAAAATTATGCAGCTCAGGGATTCCTCAACACTGTTTCCCATAAGGGCGTGTGACACTCACAAGCATATTCCCAGAACCACACCCTGACAGCGTGAGCTCCTGTCTTTACAGTGTGGTGGCTACTTCAGCAAAGACTTTATTATCCTTACCATCTCTAGAGGTCATCAACAAAGGTCAGAGAACAGTGTCCATGTGGCTCTGTTTTGTTCATCTCGACAGCTAATGAAAATCGTATTTATTATAGCAATAAAATACAGTCTTGGAAATAAGTTCTTCTTGCACTTACCAAAAAAATTACCTTAAATAACAATTTCATCTGATAGAATATTGAAATCAGTTAGCGCTAAAAGGAATTTAGGGATGAGATGCGTTTAACAAATAGTTACAGAAAGGCTTCTTCATGTCCAGTAAGAACCTGCCACCTTGCAGGTTATATCCCCAGCACACCCACCTGTGGAACAGAATGGCCCCGAGTAGGCAGACAGCTGGCAGTCGCAGGAGAAACCCTGGGGCTTCTCATGGCACCGGCCCCCATGGAGACACAGGTGCCCATAGGTACTGCAGTGACCCAGACAGCCTGGTTCCACTCCTGGTGTGACTTTGGCCCTCTCCTCCAGGTCCAGGGCCTTCCCATTCACCTGCAGAGCCCTGATGCAGCCCAGAAAGCCCCTCTGTCTGCTGGCTGTGCTTCCTATAAACAGAGAATAGTGTTGTGACTGCTCTGGGGGACTTGAGGGCTGCTACAGCCCCACATCTCAGAGAGCTCTGTGGCCAACATGGTTTGCAGACAAGTGTTAGCACTGTTGGAAGGTATTCAATAGCACTGAAAAGATAATTCCTTTGTGGAAACAGTAGAGTCCAGCAAGTTTTATTCTAACCAGGTTCCTTCTTAATTCTCAGAGGAATTTGTTTTAAAGTTAGTCTCATTAAAGCAAAGAAGGAAATTTAATAAAACACCAGTATTATTGCAGCAATTGCAATGTGATGTAGTGTGTGTTGATGTGACTAGCTCATGCTTGAGAATTTGTCATGGTAAATACAGCAGGCTTGATCAGAAGCCTGGAACAGTGACAGAGACCAGATTTACTCTCCATTGGGAAGGCAACTGAAAACAGCAGTTTAGCCACATTGACACCAACCCGGTATGTGAGGGTCATTGAAGGAGGCCGTGAGTTCTGCTGGAGAGGCCTTGGGCTGTAGTGCAGGGATCCAGGCAGTTTGAGTCCATGGGCCACTGGCTTGGTGTAGAGCCAAGGGCTGGGAGAGACAGTGGGGGCACCTGGGTCCACCGAGGACCCCACTCCAGTGCTGAGCTCACATCAGTCAACACAGGAGAGTTTCTGGAGCCAGGGACACAGAACTCAAATGACCAGAGCCATCTGCAGGTGTCACAGGTCTTGAAGCCCTGCTTGTTCCCATAGTCAGTCATAAACCAAGCACTCTGGGGCACCTGTTACAGAAGATACAAGTGTTGCCTCAATAGTGGGAAAATTAAACTAGGATAACTGCTCTCTAGCCACCAAATACGCAAGAACAAGTCCACGAAGAACCAAAGCTCAAGAAGTAAAATAACACACAGTATTCAGACTCCATGAGGTGACAGCCACAGGCCTGAATCCAGCGAGAAGCTGTCACTTGCACAGATGCAGGTGTGGGCTGCTGGACCAGCCTGGAGGGGAAATTGGCCCATTGAAACTGGCCCAGAGATGGTGGGTGATTGATTCAAAGAGGAATTAGAACATATGTTCATGAAGCCAGGGGAAGAACCAGGCCATCTTTGTATAAACATGAAATGCATGAAAAAGATCCATTTGAACTTTTAAAGAAAGAAACTATAATTTTTGAGAAGGAAAAGCCTGAGCACTTGGCAGTGTGAACCTGTGTAATGCTTAAATGAATTAATAAAAATTATAAAAGTGTCAGAGAAAAAAAGTCTCCAAGATAATAAGATTCTGACCAGGAAGGGTACAGCCAGGGGATGCCAGGCCACAACTTTGAAGAATCAAAGGCAAAACAGCAGTTAGCCCACACACATAGATATGTGGTACATGTGTGTGCACACAGTTATTGCTGCTAAGCCACCAAGGAGAAAAGCAGGACCGTATAAATTGTTCAATCCAAACAAAGCAGAAAAAAAATGAAAAAGGGGAAGGAAAAACAGATAGAATAAATAGAAGAAAAATAGTAAGTTGACAGAGTTAAACCCAGTCATATGAAAATCATATTAAAGACACAAACATTGCAGTCAAGACAGAAGTTGATTGTTTAACAATATGAAACCCCACCAAATGCTGCTTAAACAATATCTACCTTAAATCTAAATGCAGAGAGGCTGGAAGTAAAGGAGAAGATAAACCATGTCGTAGAGATCAAAAGGAGCTGTGTAGCTTACAGCTGTGCCAGAAAGAGTGGGTTCTAGAAAGAAGGAATGCTAGGAAATCACCAAGCATTGGAAAGGAAGACTCCTATACAGTCCATGTGGGTCAATGTGGAAATCAGGAAGTGACCTGAATCAGATGGGCTGCACCCATAGCAGCAGCCGGGAGATGATAGGGCTGCTGCTGTGAGCATCGTGTTGGCAGAGAAGAAGGCTTCACATCGTCTTGCCTTCTGTTTCAGAAAATAGGAAAGAGCAATGAAACCCAGAGACCCACTGAACAGAGGATAAGGAGCAAATATAAACTGGTAACACCAAGGCCAGATGCTGGTTCGCTGAGAACAGCAATGAAATTGACAAAAGTCCAGCAAGAAGAGTAAAGTGAGAGGGCAGAAAGAGGAAGAATCCCAAGCAATCGACTTCACAAGAGCAGAGGAGGGAGAGAGGTGGGGTGGTAGGGGTGGGGGGAGAAGGACACACAGAGGTGGAGAAAGCATGGCATCACAGGTTCATCAATATCTTAAGGACAACAAGGGAGATACTATGTGTGTAACAGCCAAAAAGCTTGACAAGCTGATTGAAATGGAAAGACTCCTTAAAAGACTCAAACTACCAAAGCTCTGTGAAGAAGAAATGCAGAAGTGCAACACCCACACCACATAGCGTATAAAGCTGTTGAGTAACGGGGGAGCAGGGGAGAGAAAGAGAGGAGCAGAGGGGTTAATCTGATTAAAGCACAACGTATACACGTAGAAATACCACGGTGAAACCCTCTGACCAAAGAATGCACACTTGAGAAAACGACCACAGGCAGGTAAAATGGGTCCTGTCCAGAGGTGCTACCTGTGGGACTGGGGAGGTTAAGTGGAGAGGAAGAAGGAAGGGCAAATATGGGGGGTGCACTTTGTATACTTATGTGAAAATAGAACAGGTGAAATTGTTTTCAGAAGGGAGGAGTGTGAGGGAGAATGATGGAGGGGGTGAATCTTGAATCGAATCAAGGCACATTATAAGCACATATGTAAATGTTACAAAAAGGCCTTGTGCAACTAATATCTGCTAATTAAAATGTAATAAAAAGAAGAAATGCAAAATCATGGTACTTACATACCTATCAAAGAAACCAAATTTTCACAAACTCTTCTGCCATAGGGACCAAAGACACTGATGGATTCATTGGTGAGTCCTACCAAACACTTAAGGAAGAAAGAATTCCAATTATACACAGAACCTTCCAGAACAACATTGAAGAGGAGAGAGCATGTCCCACCCCACTCCGTGAGGCAGCATTACGTTCATACCCAAAGCAGGAAAAGAAACTTGGAGACTGGTGTCCCTCCTGAAAACGACTGTGAACTCTTAACATGTGAGCAAGTCAGATCCATTAAAAGAGATAAACGCATGAGACTGAGTATGCTTTATCTCAGGAAGGTAAAGTTTCTTCTTTTATTTTCAAATCACTGGATACAATTCACCATATTAGCAGAATAATAAAAATGTAAAGTCACCAGAGTACCTCAAGCAACACAGAAAACTCAATTAGCAAAAGCCAGCACCCATTTGATAAACACTCTCTTCAAGTTAGGAATATAAGGGTACTACCTGACTCTGGAAGAAAGCACTGCAAAGAGGCCAACATACATCCCCAGTGGGGGCTCACCACGCACCACGTGACCGTGCCTCCTTTGCAGGACCAGGCAGGGACCCTGTCCCCTGGCCACACGGCACTGAAGGCCCTGGCCAATCACTGGGCAGAGAAATTCCAGCAGCTGCGGCAAAGTGCCCACACTGGAAAGGAGGCCATAAGACCATCTCTCTGCAGAGCCCATGGTCATCCCTGTACAATATTAGCTAGACTCTGCAAAAAGCTACCAGAGCCGATCAATTAATTTAGCAAGTATATAGTTAGATTGAAATAGGGAAAAAAAATCAACTGAATTTAAAAATACTACGTACATTGTTGGTGAAAATGTAAATTAGTGCAGCCATTTTGGAAAAGAGTAGAAGTACGTAAAAAAACTAAAAATATCGATACTGTGTGATCCAGATGTCCCATTTCTGAGCATATAGTGAAAAGGATTAATCAGTATGCCAAAAGACTTCCGCACCCCAGGTTCACTGCAGCACGATTCACACTAGTTGAGGTATGGAACTAACCTGGTGTCCTTCGATGGGTGGGTGGGTAAAGGCAATGCTGTATAAACAGACTCTATAAACACAGTGTAATAGTACTCAGACTTAAAAAGGCAGGACAACCTGCTATCCTGTGATACCATGCACCCTGGGGGGACACTATGCTAAGTGAAATAAGCCATGTACAGGAAGACAAATCCACATGGTCTCCCTCGTATGTAGAATCCAAAACAATCACCTCACAGGAGCAGAGAGTAGAACAGGGACTACCAGGGGCCATGATGGCATGGGTGGGGAATGAGGAGGCCTTGGTCAGCAGGAGCTCCAGTGTTCTGTTACACAGCAGGTGACTGCAGTTAATAATGTATTGTGAAATTCAGGACAGCAGGAAGAGTACATAGGCAAAAGGGCCTAGGAGAGGATTGTTGACTTAAAAATGATGTGTGCTCCTTCTTTGATAAACAACTCTGATTATTTCAAGTTCTCTCTCTCTCTCCAACCTAGTGTTTGACCACAGATGGAATGTGAAGCCCACACGTGGAGAATGGCTCTGGCACTCCTGATAGAGCACACTGAATGCTGCCCACCTGACCTCTGTCCTCACAATCTGCAGCTTTGCAAGGTGTTTACACATATGGAAAATCCCCCCTGAAATCTGCCCTCAGCCATCATGAGGCTGTGACCCCAAAGCCACAGCTGTGAAGCCACAGAGGCCTTGAAGGGCAGCTGCAGAAGCTTGAGCAATTTCACTCATGGATTTGAACAGTGTCCACCCCTGTCTTTCTAAGGCCATCTCTGAGGTTCCAAAGGTTCACCACCGTACAGCTTCAGAGCCAAGTTTAGGAGTGTGGAGGCCGCCTTATGTCAAAGCAGCTGCTCACATGGCTAACTAACCCAGCGCGAAGACAGAGCGATCAGTGAGGTTCATCATGAGAGACAATGCACAGGAAGCAGAAACACACTGTGTGACTTTCCAGCGAGATGGAGAAGGAGTCTTACAGCTTATTTACATGCACTCTTAATTGGAAATACTTCACTCAAGTGTGGCTGTATAATCACAATTAGGGCATTTAGCATGCCCTTAATCTTAGAAATTTCACATGTATCTTTAACAGTTGGAAAAAGACAAAAGTACACAGAAATACTAAAACGATGTGTTTGTGAAATTCCTTTACAAACCTCACCCTTTGGTAAAGGAAGCTAATGAGACTTGATTGCATAAGTGCAGAAAACACTGGAACCCTGGGATTTGTGCTCAAATGTAATAGTTTGCAATTATTTTTCAGTTGTTCAGGTTCCTAATTTGTCGGAGCTTCTGAATTTGTTTGGAAAGGCACAGTGTCACAGAGGTCTAGATCCTGTCTTCTTCACTTCAGTCAGACCCACCCATTTGTAAACAACACAACACCAAACATCCAGCCAGACCAGGGGAGCTGGGGCCCTGGGTTCCGGTTCTGCAGAGGAGGAGCAGCAGTGGTGTTGGGAGAGAGGAAGCTGTATGTTTGCAAATGTGGTGGTGAGTTTTGGGGTCAGGAGGAGGGTGGGGTGGACATAGGCTGGGGCTGTGAATGGGGGGACCATCCTTCCTGGTTTCCTCCTTGCCCAGTTTCTGGGGAACCCACCTACAATGGGAATGATGAGGATGGCAGCTGTGGACGCCAGCAGCACACCATCCACTGGATTCACAGTGGCCAGAGTTTGGTACCACAGGGGAGCAAGTCCTAAGACTTGGGTTTGGAGCTGTGACCATGGGGCATTTGCTCACAGAAGCCCCACCATGGCCAGCCAGATCCCTATACACAGTAGGGTACAGGCCCTGTTTGTGGGTGCAGTGAGGCCTGGGTAGAGCTTCCACTGTGGGCCACCGCTGGGTGGAGGGAGGCAGCCATGGCTGGGGCTTCACAGTGGCAGGCCACATTTCTCACCTGTCTGCATTTCTCCTGAGCTATCCCTGCAGGAACCACGCAAACAGAAAGTGACAGCAGATGGCACTCACCCACGAAGAGCTGGCTGTTGAGCTGAAGGAGCACATGCCCATCCTCAGGGGCAGGACGCATCCCCACAGGCAGCAGGTCCACCTGCAGTGATGCCTCCTTTGTGTTCCTCTCTGCTCGGACCAGGTGCCACCGGTCGTCATTGAGGGGGGCTGGTGCACGCACCGTAACCTCACAGGGTCCATTTCCCACATCAAAGGAAAAGGTCACTTCCACAGGAGCTGCAAAGGAGGATAGAGAAGCAGCGTGAGAATTTTGCAGGAGGGTCCTAGGCTTGGATGCGTGGGAGTTTTAGACTCCTGGGACAACATCGCAAGGGTGCAGGCCCTGTGAGGGTCACTGTGGGGATTCCTCAATGTGGAAAATTGTCATTGAAAGGAGGGTAAAAGGCAAAGCTAACTCACATCTGGGAAAATGCTGACGCAAACAAACAAGCTCAGAATGTGCAATTCATTTTGCTGTGTACTGAATTGAAAAGCTAATTTTCCACAGCAGAGAAACTACAAAACTTCTGGGTCTGAGGTAGAATTCAGTCCAGGACTTCACATGGTTTAAGAGCAGGCTGGGGTGGGTCGCAGCAGGGCAGATTTGCACAAGGGAAGGATTTGGGGATTCAGTGGACACCCCGTGGAAGATCCAGAGGAATCTACACCCTGACTGCACCCAGCTAAATGTCCCTTAAGCTGCACTGTGTGCAGAGCAGCTGTCCACAGCAGCTTTGTGCATCCCCAGCACACTGCTTTCTTTTTCTACTGCCTGGTGCCGTTGACAGAGGGAGGACTGAGGTGACTAATGGGGAGACTGGCCGACCGAACCTTAAACAGGAGGCCACCTGGAGAGCATATGGCTACACAGTGCCCCTCAGAATTCTGAAAACTTACAGCGCAGCTCCAGGCAGATGAAGTCTGTGATGCCCAGGTTCTGTAAGAATACCCCAGACGAGGCCGTTGTCTTGAAAAAGAAGGACACATCGGCACTGAGCTCCCCATGGAATGTGGGGAAGCGAAGGTAGGAGGTCTCCGTGTGGAAAGAAGCCGAATTCCAAAACGAGCCTTTTTGGGGAAGATAGGGGCAAGGTGAGCAAGCAGGTCCAGCGTCCCAGACCGGCCTGAGCCTAGCAGCCCATTTCTGCTTTTCTCTGTGATGCTCTCCTGACCTGTTTCATGTAGATGTCTAACATAGAGCTTGGGGCTTTTGAGAGCTGAGAGGGACTCCTGGATTGTAGAAGCTGGCAGGGTCTTATATCCTACATAAGAAAGATTTCTCCTCCGCCCACTTCAGGCAAATTCCTTAGTCATGTTCTCCCGTACCATTATCATCAAGCCTTGATTTGTTCCTCATACAGAGTTTTAAGCATCTGTGTAACTCTGAATTAAAATCAGGTTACCTTGCAGAATTTCAAGGAGTTGTCACTCCAACCTGCCAACCATGGTCCCAAATAACCCTCAGTCATGGTGCTCCCTGCAGCAGGGACCAGCCCCAAGGAGACGATGGTACCTCCTGCCAACGCTTAGGGCTTTGTTGACCTGTCAAGCAGTGATAATGTTCTTGTGAACATGCCATTTCTACTTAGTGCATTTCCACTGCTCCTTATAAAACTGGGCTGGAAGGGCCAGGCATGGAGGTACATGCCTACAATCCTAGCTATATGGGAAGTGGTGGTAGCAGAATCATGGTCTGAGGCCAGTCCCAGGCAAAATCAAGATCCTCTCTGAAAAATAACCTAAGGCAAAAAAGGGCTGGAGGTGTGGCTCAAGTAGTAGAGCACCTGCCTAGCAAGCACAAGGCCCTGAGTTCAGTTCAAGCCTCCGAACCACTAAATAAGTAATTAAGTAAATAAATAAATAACTGAGGTGGAAATAGTCACCATCATCACAGCGGTTTCTGCCTCTCTTATTTCATATTGTTCAAAATCAGCACAAAAATGTCATAACATTTTAAAGGTTCCCAAATTGACAAAAAGCCTCTTTCCCAAGGATTCACCTATTAATTGAAATGACACTTGAAAAGGTCTATATGCACAGTGGTTCAAATACTGTCTGCTCATTCTTCTCACTACACTGCTTTTCTGTTTCATGTTTGGCTGTCCATAGCTTCCTGTTTGAGAAAAGGCCAAGAGCTTTCCTGGTTGAGCTGACACTGGACTTTGGAGAAGGAACCATGACATAGCCTGGAACACAAGACCCAGTGTCAGGGTGGCTGATGCCCCTGAGGCCCCGGCATGAACCAGGCAACATGCCACGCTGTGGTGACAGATGCGGCGTGGCCTCCAGAGTCCTGGGGACAGCCACTGTAGTTACAGAGCTACAGAGCTTTAACTTGAGGCCATTCACCATGATGGATAACATCCTCACATCTAAGTTACTTCCCTCAAGAGTGGGCTCACACCCTGGGGCCAGGAGAGAGCATAGCCATCCGTCCACTTCATCATCAGAGGGAGACACCATCCCTTTGGCCTCTGCTCCACCTTGCAAGGATCCCCATCTGCTCCCATCACGACAACGGCTGCTCCTGCTTCTCAGCTTTGCCACCGGGGCCCCAGACCAAGGAGCCAGTTCTCGGTTCCTAGGTTTCATAGACAGAGCACTGCAACCCCTTCCTGCTGGGCTGTCAGTGGGAAAGCACCTCCATACTGCTGGCCTTTTCTCCAGAGCATCAGAGTGACTGCAACCACAGGTCTCTGTTCCATCTGAGGCTCTCCCTGTGTGAGGTCCTGGGAGCACCGTGAGATAAGAGGTGCCAGACACAGGCTCAGGATGACCCCGTTAGGGACTCAGGAGACAGGTGTGGACAGACCTCAGCACTCCCTCAGTTCAACAATTCCAGAAAAACTTGAAATAAGAAGGTGCTGACGGCAGCAAACCAAGGTCTTCCCAAGCTTGGGTGGTGTGGTCATCAGGAACCTTAAACCCCATGTTAGATAGCACCAAGCTATCCATGAAGGGATGTATCTTTTACTTCACTCCAGTTTATAAGAAGACAGGAGGAAACTCAGGCTCTGTCTCCCACAGGCTGCCACATGCACAGTGACTGTCTCCTGTGATGAGCACCACTGACGTCTCGGGTGCTGAAGCCCTCTGCATAATGCTTCATTCACCTTCACCAGGAGACCAGACCACTGACCTTGAGAAGCAAACGTGGCTGCCTGTGCCCATCACATGAATCTCAGGAGCCCATCCCGAGGGAAACAGAGGAGCAGCTGCAGGGTCCTGGTGCCCTGGGCTTTATGTGGACAGAGGGCTCCAGGATGTGCCGGACCAGAGCCCCAGAGCAGGCGGGAGGTGCCTTGCTGTGGATATTTCCCTGGAGGAGCCAGGTCCCTTGTGATCCTTCGAGGAGAGAGTAGACCTTGTCAAATGATCCTAAGTAGCAGGGGTTCCATGTGAACCCCACCTTTACATTGTGTATATGTGGTGCATGTGTGTGTTGTGTGTGATATGTATCTGTGTGTGTGTTGCATGTGTTGTGTGTGATGTGTGTGTATGTGGTTTGTGGTGTTCGTGTGGTTTATGGTATGTATGCTGTGTATGCATGTGTGTGTTGCACGTGTGGTATGTATGTGGTATATAGTGTGTTTGTGGTATGGTTTATGGTGTGTGCGTGGTGTATGATGTGTGTGTGGTGGGTATGTGTGCATGTGGTATATGGTGCGTGTGGTTTGTGTGTGCTGTGTATGTGTGTGTGGTGAATGGCACGTATGTGGTGTGTGTGATGTACATGGTGTGTGGTGTGTATGATGTGTGTGTGTGTGTGATATAGTATGGGTAAGAGTGCCAGGTGTTACTTTCATAGCGGAGGGAGATGTGTTAGATCACATGACATAAACACATACCCACTGCACACTCTGTTTAACATTTGCATACATATTGTAACTATGTTGCATGATTGTGTTCACGTGGCATATGCGTTATATACATGGCATATACACTGTGTACATATGGTACAGTTTTCATCCACATGAAAGACAGATAAATAGGTATACATCACTCAGGGAAATTAGTTTTGTTAGCCTGAGGGAAGTGAGGGTTATATCATAAATATTTTCTTCTTTCATTCGGCTCTTAAATACATTTTCCTAGTAATGAATGGTACAAAAGCCACATTAAAAGACATATGAATTTACAAAATGAGGGTGTTTACTTCTAGTTCAAAGGTACACAAAATGTAAACACTAGGGAAAGAAGTTATGAAAGCACAGATGAAAACTATTTTTCTATTCAAATTCATGTCCCTATTCATTTTAAGAAAATGAACTGAAAGCAGGGCTTTTTAACCAAAAGAAAACACTCAAAGTGGTTCTATTTTCAATTTTGACAACATAAATACTTATGTATTGACTTGGCACTTCAATAGTTTCTCTTTTGAAATTTTTAGTGTTGTTTTCACATTTCAGGGAAAATAATTAGGAACAAATATAAAGCAAAGCAAAAATGAAAATAATGAAATACGATTGGATAGAATTACACTTTTTGGCTCAGAGACCAGCTGGAAAAGAACAAAGCTATCATACACAATTGCATAGAAAAACCACCACCCTGTGAGAGAAACAGGCAGCATGAAATTGGGGTGCAAATAGAAAATCATCATTCTCAAGTTATTCATGAGACAGGGAGCTTGAAGCCACCCAGAGGACAGGCGTGCCCTAGTCCTTGAAGCTCACAGTTGCCTCTGGGTTTGTGTGACATTTGGATGTTAGCAGCTAGCCAGCAGAGCACTGAGGCTACACACACACACACACACACACACACACACACACACACAAGTACTCACCCACACTCATAGGCATTTGTATATTATTGAATTGTTTGCTTCGCTTTTTCTTACTCTTTTTTGTTGCTGTTTATTCTTCAGCAAGTCCAAAGGAAGTGGAAGGGCTTTGCACCTAAAACCAGCTCTTCCTTTTCATTCTAGGTCCAGGAAGAGGTAAGGCAAGAGGTGGGTGACTTTTCTCTACCTCCCGCATGGGCTGTCCCAGTGCTTCCTTGTACCTCTCAGACTGAGGTCGAAACAGTTGTGGGATTGGGTTTTGCTCAACATGGACCAATCCAAGGTTGTGCCTGTCCTGCTGTGACTTCTTAGTGACTCTTGGTCTCCAAATTGCTGCTCTTTACGGCACTGTCTGTTTGTGCCTTGGTGTCCAGGGACCATCCTCATGTCCTGACCTCTGTACCCACACCCAGTACTCTGTCCTTGGCTTTCATCTGTCAACACCCACTCTCCAGAGACCCCATCAGCTGCTGGGCTCCTCTGAGGACTTTGTCCCAGCTGCTCACATCCCACCTGTCCTAACCCATTGCCTCAGTGGTGTCATCGTGAGTTATGACTCACATCCTCTGTAGGGTCAGTGCTCTGCCTTCATCTTCTTCACAGTTTGGTTGAGGTGGCCATCATCTATCTGGGTTCATGTCATGACCACCCTGCTAGGTCCCCAGGCGAGTGCCAGGTTGGGTACTCTCTGCCCCTCCATGTAGGATACTCTTCTTTGTAGGCCCTGTGTCCTGTGGTCCCTCCAGCCATCACGCAGATGTTATTTTCTCAGTGGAGCCATCCCACTCCCCACACCTCTCTTTTCTGTGGTCCATGGTGTTCACGGCTCTCCTCTGCAGGCTGGACCTTGTTTCTTTTCCTCCTTCTATGCCCTAGCAGGATGGCAGTGCTCCTTGTCATCTGAGGCCCTCAGTAAGAATCTGACAATTGACTCTTGTTTCCTCTTTTCTTTTGCCGATGAGAAGCTAGAAGACTTCTTCCATTTGGATTTCATAATTATCTTCCCAGAATTCCAATCATGGAATTTGTGGAACACATGGAAAGGGAGAGATAGGGAAGGAGGAGGGAGGAGGCTGGAGCAGCAGGAGGAGGGTAAATGGAGGAAGGGGTGAGGCTGGTGTTATCTTTAAAGGGAAGCAAGAGAAGAATTTCTGAACAGTGCTGATGCGGGACCTGGGCGGGGCCGCACTGAGGATGTGGTGTATTTGGAAAGTGACCAGTTCAGGTTACCTGACATGGTTTAAATGTCATAGGGTTCAGTGGAAGAGAAATTCATATCTATCAATCTGGGGTCTGCCTTTTTTCAGGGGTGTTTATTGATGTACATCTTAATTATGAATGTGCTGTGGCAGCTCTGAGCTCCAGACAGTAGCTCTGTCATGGAGACAGAATGAAAGAACAAATTCCAGAGGCACAAGAGTGCCTCTTCCTACCCTGGGGTGCTCGGGGCTGAGTTCTCAGCCTCTTCCGACCTCAGAGTGCTTAGGGATGAGTTCTCAGTACTGCCTCTTCTTGCCCCAGGGTAAGAAATCTGCTTATAGCAGATTTCCCAGGTCTTTGTCTATAGCAACAGGGCTGACACTTGGACTACATTTCAAATTTTAATGGAATAAATTGTCTCAAAAGAAATACAGTGAATAAAATGTATTACAGAACTCAAATGTCAAAGATTTAAATTGCCTTACAGTTTAGACCTCTCAATGAAAGTGCTACCTCAAGACATCTCTTTCCATGTGCAAAATTTATATTTAGTCCTATGAATAAAGGTGGTATGGGCACTGACTCTATCCCCCACACACTGACGAAACAAAGAACACCTGGTAACAACAAATGCTATGTACAACAGGAAAGGCAGCTCAGAAGGCTGTCCAAACCCATGTGGCTATGAATTCCATAAGCAGCTCAGAAGACTGTCTCAAGCCCATGTGGCTCTGCTCTGATTTCCAGGAGACTGGCCCAGGCTGTTCTGGCTGGTTCCAGACTTCAGGGTTCTTATACAAGATTAGTATTTGCCCTGCTTTGCTCACAGACAATTAATTCCTAGTCCAGAAATGAGTGTGACAGATTTCCAGATCTCTTGGGTGGGCATGACCTTGGAGCAGAGGAGGGTTACCCTAACCCTAACCCTGTGTTGGGAACTCAGGTAAATCCAGGGACAGTCTTTGGAGAAAAGAGCATCTGTTCACTGGGCCACATGAAGACCCAGCAGAAGCAGGGAGAACAAAGGTCCCACGGTCCAGGGGTCATGGAGGGAAGGTGACAAGGCCAGAACTGAGGTGAGGACATGATCAGCCTCCCCTGGTGCAAGTGGCGGCACCAGAAGCTTCTAGGACTGTAGTGTCTTGTGTCAGGAAGACTCACTCTGCCTCTGCTCTTTCAGAAAGCAGTGTCAACTCTGGCTACACTGTTGGCTTAGGACAAATGACGCCCTGCTTTCATTCTGAGTTCTCATCAAGGGTGTGGGATGTAGAATCTGGGAGAAGTATAAGCAATGGTGGCTCTGAGCTGCTGAAAAAAAGTGTCAGAGTCACCTGATGTCTCCATGTCCTGGATACTTGCTTGCCCGTCTAGCAGACAAGAGGCCACAAGCTTCAGGAGAGAAAAGAGGACAGGTCTCCATCCTGGAAGCTCCCTAGTGGAGATGAACAGTGGCTATGAAGACTATAATGTTGAAAACACTGCTTTAGATGGCAAATATCATGACTGTGAAATCACGGGAGCCATTACTTCAAAGTTAAAGACAGAGAGAGGCAGAGGCAGAGACAGAGATGGAGATGAAAGGACTCAGAGAGAGATAGACTGAGAGGTAGAGAAAGGGAGAGAAATGAGAGGGAGAGAGAGACACATACACAGAGAAAGACATCACATACACACACACAGAGAGAGAGAGAGAGGGAGAGAGAGAGAGAGAGAGAGAGAGAGAGAGAGAGAGAGAGAGAGAGAGAGAGAGAGAAGCAGAAAAAAGAAGAAGAAAGGCAAAGCCAAGTGCCTCTGCTCTGACAGGCTTGTTTCAGGGTGGTGTCTGATACTACCCATCTGCACAGTGTGCACAGTGGTCACACATTGTGCACTTCACTGGTCCAAGGTGCTTTGTTCTCTTGTAGTGATGAGGAGGGGAGTTGTGTGTCCAGGTGAGAATGGCACCCACAGGCTTTCTAGAACCTTCCCCTGTGGGGGTGGTCCTTGCACCTGACAGGTGTGTCCCTAGTACAGGTACAACTCTGGTCTTTCCTGGCCACAGGGGCTGTCTCAGAGGGGTTTCTTGCTTTTTACAGCCATGGTTAGGACCAAGCGCTGAGAACAGCGACCCAGCATTCACCAGTTTCCTGACTTAAACAAGAGCCCTCGTTCCTTTCTCCCCACTAACACTCTGTGCAATGCTGACTTCATATCAGCCAGCCCCACCAGGGAAGGAGGGCTCAGTACTCACGATCTCCCTGGCACAGCAGAGGGCCCAGTCTGTAGGTTGCCTCGGATCCAGGCTGGGCTGAGTCTATGAAGATGTGTGTGACAGGCAGGTGCTCCCTGTAGGAGAGCACGCTTGTGCTGTTGGTCCTGGGGAGAGAGGACAGGGTGGCTGCTGTGCAGGGCACAGGTACACGCAGGGGGACTGGGGTCTTTCAAGCACTAACCACCATTCGCACAGCTGACCATGGGGATGGCAGGCTCAGAGGTGTGCTGTGGGTCAGTCACCTAGGCAAGCAGCAGCTGCACTGTATACAGATCTAAGTGCAGCTTGTGTGTGTCATAGGCACAGACTGTGGGTTCACCACTGGAATGCTGTTGTCCAAAAAGAACAGCATAAAACATTCCAACGCTATGAAAATATAAAACTAAGGTCTTGCTCAGACGTTAATAGTAATTATTATCATAAACTGACAGGAAACTAAATGGGTAATAAAAAAATAAAACATGGCACAAGTTCTCTAAGTGTCAGTCTGCGAGGTGGTTTGGGAAGGGGCTTGGCAAACACCTTATCCTTGACACGCGGTTCCTCACCCCCTTTCACTGGTTTGACAAATTTCCAGGGTGGCAGGTGCACCCCACCACGGCTGACAGCTCCTGTTTCCTGGAGGCCCCAAGTGATTGGGCCACATGCCCAGCTCTCTAGGCCCCCAAAACACAGTAGCACTTTAAATCTCTCCCTCCCACAGAGAAAGCCCTGAGATTGTGGGGTTGGCTAGACATATTTGTAGAAGTTAAGAAGCAAGGGGAAGAAGACTGGACCTCTCTCCAGTCAGGGGTGGACAGAGAAGTTACCCTGTCCACATAAAATCATCTAGAACCACTTCTATGGCTGAGTTTGAAGGCAGTTACGGATGAATGGAGTGATTTCAACCTTCTTACATACACATACATCACTAAAAACTTTCTTGGTCAATTAAATTTTTTTACTTTGTTAGAAATGCCTCAGACATTCAAAATGGCTTAAGCAATAATATAATAAATGGCAATATACTCATCTAAATTTAATTATTGAAATATTACCAGTGGAAAGGAAGAGGCCAAGTTGTAACTAATTATGAATGATGCTATTTTTTGTGCAGAAAACCCCAAAGGATTTAAAGACTATTAAAATTTAAAATATGAAACTAGTAGGGCCACTTGATACAAGACCAATTATATAAAAATCAGTTCCATCTCAATGTGCCAACAATGCAAAATGAAAATTTAATGTAAAATGAAGTGCCCGACCATAGTGTCATAAATAGAAAATATCTAGATATAAAAGTAACAGAAGGTATTGAAGACTGAATGCCACTAGTGAGAAAAATGAAAGAATCAGAAAACTCTGTATTGTGAAAATGTTAATTCCTTCAGTTTATATGAAGAATCAACAAAATCCATCAGGCTGACATAAAGTATCAGGGCAGCAGGGTGGAAGAGCAGCTGTGTGGGTCACAGTCCCAACACCCCCAGAACAGAGAGAAAAGAGAGTGAGTGAGCCCTGAAAGAACCCCCTGCTGAAAACCAGGAGGCAGGACTGGTTACTTAGTTATGCATAAGTAGAGAGAACCTGGAAGCCATGAGCTTCTGAGCTCTGCCCCAGGCTCTGCAGAGAGCCCCAGCACTGGGAAAGAGGAAAGCGAAGTTGAAGCAGTGGGCCTGAAACTGACCCAAAACCACTGGCAGAGGACAACTGTCCTCACCGACCATAAAGTCCTGGAAATGTTCACAGACCAGAGCCCCGACATAGGGAGCACATGAGGTAAAACATCCTTAGGAAGGAGACCAGGCACACAGGTTCTCAGGAAGGACTCCACGTACAGACGACTGAACTGGTCTCTATCTCTCATCCTGCACTAAGTCAAACCAAATCAAGTGGATCAAAGACCTTAAACTTTGAAACTACTACAAAAAACATATGGGAAACACTTGAAGATAAGGCGTGTGCAATGCTTTCTGAATAGTACTCTGAAGGAAAAAGAGAAAGAATTGACAAATGGAATTACATCGAATTAAAAGACTTCTGCAGAGCAAAGAAAAGTCACTAGAATGAAGAGACCACCCACAGAGTGGGAGAAAATATTTGCCAGCTATTTTTCAGACAATGGATTAATGTCCAGAGTATATGAAGAGCCCAAAAATTAAACAAAATAATAAACAGTCCAATGAAAAAGTGTACAGATGAATTGAACAGACAGTTCTCAAAAGATGAAGTACAAATGGCCAATAAAAACATGAGAAAATGTTCAACATCCTTAGCTGTAAAGGAAATGCAAATGAAAACATTGAGATTTCATCTCACCCCATTCAGAACAGTCATTAAGAAAAAACAACAAATGCTGGCAGAGATGTGGGGGAATATGGAAATGTAAATTAGTACGACCACTGTGGCTATCAGTATGAAAGTTCTTCACAAAACTAAAAGTACAACTATCATATGATCCTTCTATCACTTCTGGGTGGATCCAAAGCAGTGTAGGTAGCTATTCAACAGAGCAGGTGGGTCTATTGTTTATTGCAACACTATTCAGAGTAGCCAAACTGTGGAATCAGCCTGGATACCTATCAGCTGATGATTGAATGAAGAAAATGTGGTTCATATACCAAAAGGAGCATTATTCAGCCATAGAGAAGAATGGGAAATGGGTGGAACTTGAGATTATCACATTTAGCAAAATAAGTCAGACTCAGAAGACAAATATCTAGAGTGCCTGCCTAGCCCTGGGTGCAAACCTCAATACTGCAAAAGAAGAAAAAAGGAAAGAAAGACAAATATCTAGAAAAAAAAAGAAAGACAAAAATGGCATGAAGTAAAAGGTCAGCTTTTGGGGAGGAGGGACCAGCCAAATGAGAGAATACGAATATGTATTACATATGAATATATATCACAAGCACGTATGAAAATAGAATAAAGAAACCCATTAAAACTGCACAAAAAAGGAGGAAGGAGGGAGAGGAGTGATAAGCAACAGTGAATAAGGGATGAATATGGTCAAAGTACATTATGCTCACGTATGGAAATATCACAATGAAACTCCTTTGTTAAAAAGGCCTCCATGGTGGGAGGGGGCTTGATCTATCCCACCCACAGTCCTACTGGTCATCATAGGCTCTGGCTCTCCCTGTACTCACTGGATTCTGGGTCTGAGATTGGACAGGAATCATGACTTTCCCTTTTAGCTTCCAGGTCACCCTCTTGGTCTGTGGTGTGTGTAAGTTGACTAGGTAGCCAAGATTGCCCACTATTCTTACTCCTCAGGGTCTGCCAGCCTTCTCTCAGGCATTCTGAGCCAAGCCTCCCCTCAGAGGGAGACATCCACCTCACCTCCTGGGTTCCATTGATTATGGATCAGGGCCTGCACTCTGCTGCTCCCTGACAGTCCTGGCCTTCTCCACCTGGCCAGGGCTTCTTACCAGCGTCTCCCTCATTGTCTCCAAAAGTAGCATCCTTGCTATTCTGGGGAACATGGTTGGCAGTGACTTCCCCACAGGGCTTTCCTTGAATTTCTGCCCTTCATGCTGTCTGCTGGCCCCTGTGTTTCTGCTTTATTCAGGCAAGATGGTAACAACTGTAGGTTTGCAGACCATAATCCCCATTACAGCTGAACTCTGGCAGTAGAGCACAAGTTCAGCTATTGGTAATGTGTAGGCAAATGGGTATCGCTGAGGGCCAATAAAACTTTATGTACAGACCTGGGCTGTGGATTTGGCCCGTGGGCCACAGTCCTAACCCCTGCTCTGGGCCATCACAGCAGTGAAATAAACCCTGGGGAACGACTTTCTAGATGGCCTCATGTGAGCATGACACTCTACAGCTATCTTCTCAAAGGCAAGTCTTCCAAATGAGTTAAAACCTTACACCCTTGAGTTGATGAGTGGGGTCCAGGTTGACTCCTGAGGTGCCTCAAAGCATCTGCATGCATATCACCTGGTTTCTTTTTAATGGTGCCAATTTTGTCTGGAACCATACCTTCCCTTTCTGGCCAAACTGCAAGTCTTCCAAATATCTCCACATGGTTCTTTGCAGTTCTCACTGCAAACCTGGCTAAAGGCAGCCAGAAATAATCATGCCACAGCCTGAGTGGTCTGCTGTGTTCAAATTTCTCTGCCAGCTTAGTCAGTCCATCATGTTTAAACTCAGCTTTGTTTAAAATCTCAGGGCAGGGACAAAAATGTAGACAAGTTCCCAACAGAGTCCTTACGGGTACAGTCTTAACTCTCCATATTCCTATCAGCACTGTGGTCTTCAGAGCTCCCACCAGAGCCATCCATTAAGCTCTGCTTACAGCACTCTAGGGTTTCTCTAGCCACAGCTCCAGACGTTTCCAAACCCCTCCCACAAACCAGTTCCAAAGGCTTCTGAACCACATGGTCAGCTTTTGTTACCATGCGGTTTGCTTTTTTATTTTTTTTGTCACTGTAACAAAATACATGTTTAAACCCATGAGGTATTGGGGACTTTCTTGTTCAACCCCTAACATACAGTAGAGAGAAAGTGTGATGTTTTTCCCAAGCTCTCTCCCCAGCTCAGGACAAAGTCTGCTGGTTCCTGAGGATAACAGCCAGTGACCAAGTAAACCATATTGGTCATGATATTTTTAACTGATTTTGGTGCTCATGGCTCATCTTCATTGCAGAATAAAACTAAAATATCTGAGTCATCTAAACTACATGAAATATTTTTGAATTGGTTTAGTAAATATGAATCTCAAGATTCAAAACATTTCATTCTTACAAACATTTACACTTTCTAACTTGACTTATTTTGTGTCTATGTGAAGCAATCCTCCTATTTAACATCTTGGTGACCATTTTTAAGCCCTATCACAGTAGTCCACATTTAGATGTGATTTTCACTTAAACATGAATAAATCTGACAGCTCCTGATACAGTAACTTTAGACAGCTCTGTTGCATTCCATCCAGTTCAGGGCTTCTCAGAAACTTTGACCAGTGGGACCCTGTGCCTTCTATGCACACAGGTGCCCAGAACCTGTGTGATGGTGGATCCCATGATGGGATAGCTCTGGATATCATGTTAGAAAATGTCCTGTCAGCAAGACAACACTCACGTAAACATAAGTAGGCTGAATTTAAAACTTTCTTATCCTTTAATGAGGCTGACGTACATGATTCACAATGGATTATCCACAATGAATAATGAAATGTTGACATTGAAATATAATGTGTGGGTTTTCTGCACAATGTCCAGGAAGAATGAAGGGAGGAAGTCTGCATGATCAAAGATGGAGGGTAGAGGTTGTGTGAATAGTCTGTCATCTCTACTTTTCTTTATATGTTTGACCTTGTCCATTATGAAAAGGTTAGGCAAGAGAATCAGCAAACCATGCATGGAAAGAGAACCAGCACCCTCTCCTCTCACCTTGGGCTTCATGTTGACTGAATGCTATCTTGTCACCATGCATGTTTCTAACTTGCTGGGGCAAAGATGAGCTACTTTCCTCCCTGGGCCAGCTCTGCAGTGTGTACCTGAACATGCACATTTACACAAGAACACCGCAGCTCATCAAGGAAGACAGCTCACCATTCACAGTTGCAGGGGTGCAGAGGGTCAATGCAGAGCCCCTGAGACCCACACTCGCATGGCCGAGAACCTGGCAAGGAGCCACCCCAGTAGATGGGAGTTTCGTTGTGCCCTCCAACCCACCAGCTCAAGGGGGTCCCATCTGGAAGGCAAATTTGAGAGAGGTAAAGTGGGCTTGGCTGCCACTCCTTGCTGCCCTGTCCACCCCTTATGCCCAGAGTTATCGTTAAAAACCCACTGAGAAAGAGAAGGCTATTTTAGAAATGATTTACCCCGTAACTGTGGTGTTTCTTTGGGAACTCTGACCAGGCCTCTGTGTATCAATCGCACCACGTCCTTACACAGCCATTCCAGATCTCATGCCTCATCAGGGAATGGCAAGACGCCTACTCCCTCCAGTCCCAGTAGTAAACTATTTTGAGCAGAAACCTAATGAAATTTTTCTAACAACTACTTTGAAAGTGAGTTACCATAAAAGCTAAAAACAAACAAAACCCATGGCAGTTTGTAAGCTGAAGTTTGTAGCATCTATTTGGGGAGCGCGAAGTTCCTGTTGGATTTAATAACTTGGGCCAGTGTGTGGCCAACTGGTAACATGCTTGCTCTCTTCCCAGTAGAGCTGTACCCACCCCTCTTAGGGTCTGCACTGCATGGACACTGGAGTCACCTGGTCCCTCCCTATGCAGCCACAGTCTCCTGCTTTTCCCACTCTCTCTGCACCACAAGGGTGGCCACTCAGTTGTGTTCTGGATTCTCAGCCAGCAGGGGTCAGTGGCAGATGCTCCCTCTGGCCCCTCTGGACTGTCCTGAGCCCAACTGAGTCCTTCCCCTTTAACCCTCTTGATCCCAAGAGACTGAGGCCCAGACCAGCTCCATTGGAACATGCAGGCTCCAGACTCTGGTTACTGCCACACTAAGTTCAGTCCCTTATCTGGCCCCTCAAGGACATCCACCCCACACATGGGGTGTCTCCCCTCCTTTCTTCTCTTTCATCCTGGCAGGTGTGCTGACCTCTCCTGTTCTTGTGTCCCACCTTCCTGGAAACCTCCCAAGACCAGGGAGAACTGGCCCTTGGTGTGGAAAGAGGCTGAGGTGCTGGGCTCCAAGGGCACAGCCCAGAGATGCTGACTGGACAGGGCACATGTGCACATGATGTTCACATGCCACACGCATGCCCAGGGCTAGCAGCCCTTTGTGGTCATGCCTCGGTGTGTTACTGGCTCCTTAATAAGAAAAGCATGGGGTGAGATGACACCAAGTGACTATGGCCTAAAAGATTAGCTTGCTCTTCTCCCTAACTTCTTCTCTGACAAAAAGAAATGATCTGAAAGCTTCAAGGGTGACCACTGTGGACACAAATCTCCCAGAGGGCACCTTGCCATACACACCCTGGTGTCAGGAAGCCATGTGTTACGTGCACGGTGAGGAGATGTGAGGGGTGGTTCCTGGGTCCCTGCACCCAGACCAGATCTGTCAGAACTTGTGCTTTACTTCCCAGCCAGCCTGAGAGGTTCCCATGGAGGAGTGGACATGGCAAAAACACCCACAGGGTTATCCATTCACAGGGGGCAATGCTGGATGGTGTGGGAAATGCAGCAAGATCAAGGCATGGAAGGTCCTGCAATGATGAACACTGGGCATATAGTTTCTGGGCAGAGAAGGAAAACAATGACTCAACAAAGTGCTGTAAGGGAAAGTACACAGGGCCTGGAGAATCACTGAGTGTAGGAGAGGTCATAGAAAACAGTTGGATGAGTTTCTGCCACCTTGTGTATCAGTGAGCTGTCCTTGTGAGGAAGGAAAGTAGGGAATTACAGGCTGGACCAAAGAGGGTGGAGACTAACCTGATAAAATATCATGCCGCAAGTCCCACCTAGGACGTGCCCCCTTCAGGCATGTCCTTGGAATGGAATGTCCTTGGTTGGGAATGTCCTTGGAATGCCCTTTCTGTGGTCAGCTCAGTGGCCTCTGCATCATGATAAGGGAGGGTGTTTGTGCAGAGGTAAAGTCCCAGAACTAGGGTGAGCACTGAGGGCCAGGGAGCCTTCCTCAGGTGACCTTTGGAGACACCCCCTACTTAAAGCTTCATACATGTGGACTGCATAGCTCACATGTAATTATAACAAGATGCTTTATGGGTAGGGACACGCTCAATCAAAATAAGTTATGCAACTTCCTTCTGTCAATCAAAGCTGTCAATCAGAAGAGGAGCACCCCTTCCAGGAGCCCCCATCCCCAGCTCCAGTTTGGTCCTAAATTATAACCAGGGGAATCTGGGCCCTTGAGCCTCTTTGCTTGGGCTTGCTCCTGTCCACTGTGGTAGTGTATTTCTGTTTGCAGGAAATCTACTTTGCATGCTACTTCTGGGCATTTTGTCCAATTTTTTGTTCAATCTGCCAAGAACCTGGATCACTCACAACTGAGAGGTACCCAGATCCCCTCCCACAGTAACAACTGGGTCGAGCTCTTCCTGCTCCCCTGGGCTGCAACCACTCACCTCACAAGGCTGGGTCAGGCCAGGTCAGAGGGCATCTGGCATGCAGGCCCCTCAACACCTACCTCGCGCATCCTGGGTCCGAGACCCCCTGCAGTGGAGAGTGAGCTCCTGCTGGCAGTACTCAGACTGGGCCACGGTGGCCAGCAGCTGCTCCGTGCTGGCTGCATACTGGAACGCAACGTGATATGGGTTCTTCTGACTTACACCCTTAACCCTGGTGAAGGCCGAGCCATTGTGCTGCAAGATGGTCCAGGGAACATCTCAGGGGCACAGCGGGAGAGAGAGGAGAGTGAGCGTCAGTGAGCTTTGAGGCTGCTCACTCGAGCCCTGAGCGCCTACCAGCCTCCTGGTCATGAGACACTGTGGAATCCACATAAAGTGGGTTCTAAAACATTGAAGAGCGGAAAGGGATGGACTTTTATTATGACCGTACTACTGTGTGCCTGAGGTGACCCTGTCACAGACATTTGTATTCTGGGTCTTAGAACACATAACGTTTATAGGAGACACAAAAAATTAAGTAGAGACCTAGGATCTGATTTCACTAATAATAAAACTTGCAAATGCAAAGCATGACTTTTCTTCTTTGACAGGACACTCTCCTTGCTGCCAGAGAAGGAGTCCTTCAGTGCTGCCCTGCATTCTGCAGGCTAAGATGTCAGATGTGCATCTGGTTCCCTCATGGCAGGGGTCTTTTGGGAGGCAGTGGGCATCCCAGGGCCAACTCAAAGCTCACACTGAAGGGCAGGACTCACTGGTCTCAGGAGGAGCTGAGCCTGCTCGGCTGATGGCTGAGTGTCGTGTTTGGACCACAACATGGAGCACTGGTGAATAAGAGAACATGGAGCATCCACGTCTGACCAAGAAAGCCTCCATGTCCCACCGTCCTGTCTGACTCCACCCTGGATCCTCTACGAGGAGGACTGGGTTAATGACCCACGTTCATTGGGCTTGTCGCACTCAAAGCCGGCAGAGCAGCATTGTACTTGCTGTGTGGTATCCTTTCAGCCCCATCCTGCTTGCTCTGGAGACAGCAGCCTCGGGAGCAGACTTGAGACTCAGCTGCAGCCCCATTGCAGTCCATGAATTCATCTTCTCCCTCCTCTTGCAGTCCCCTGCCCCAGACACTTGCCTGGTCTTAACCAAACACAAGTAAAGGGTCAGAACCAGGAGACAGGACTCTAGAGGACCCAGAGGTGGCAGGGTCTGCCACAGATGGCCCGTCAGAATCACATTCCAGAGTCTGAGCAGAAACAGGCTAACTGTGCAGCAGGACCCATGCCACCTTCCAGGAACATGTCCTGTAGTGACCTCCAGATGGGCTCCTGCCTTTTCCTGCTTACACGAATCCCTGGAGTTTCTATGATCAGAAGGACCTTGTCCCAGGAAGATGGAACAGGAACAGCACTACAACATCCAAGGCTTCATCCAACTTAGCCCTGCATATGGTCTGCCCATTTTGATTTTACAGGTGTTATCCAAAGCAGGTGGTATACTTTACATTCTATGTGAATCCAAGCAAAGGACAAGTCAGGAGCACTTTTCTGCAATTCCCATGTCCCCACTGGAGAAAAGACAAAGAATCCTGGAGAAAATAGCTTTGGTGGCTTGGAAACTGACCTCTAGAGAATGAGGGAGATGTCCTCACCACTAGATGCCAGGTGGGCTCATGGCCTCCTTGGAACAGAGTGCAGAATGAGGAGGAAGCATGGGCACTTCCAGAGCAGAGGTGTTTCATGGAGAAGTATGGGACTTTCTGTCCACCTTTGGCTGGGCCAGAGCATTTCTTATGGTTGAGCTCATACTCACTAGCTCTGGGCTGTGCTTGGCCTTGTGTTGAAACCTGCCTGGAAGGTGTGTCAGGTGTGAAGGTGGCTGTGTCTACCTCTGGGTCCCCTGAGTCAATATGGCATGCTCTGTGATAGGAAGATCTGCCTGACCCTTGACCAAAGCAAGTGCAGTCAGGTTTCATGTTGAGTATTGAGGGACAGAAAATAAGACTTTAAAAGTCATCATAACAAATCCACCCATAAATGATTTTGTTCTCAGAGCAATTGTATTCCTAATAGGTGCATTAATCTGGTAGGACCGCCATAATAAGTACCACAAATTGGGTAGCTTACTACATGGAAATGTATTTCCCCACCGTTCAGGAGTTCCTAAGATACAGCACGGAGGAGTTGCAGAGTACATTCTCCTAAAGGCCTGGGGAGGACCCTTCCTGGATCCTGCAGCTCCTGGGGTGGCCAGGGTCCTTAGCATCTTGGGCTTATGGCTGCTTTGCTGGGCTCTGCCCTGGTCTTTTGGCCTGGTTTCCTATAAGCCTTCAACTCCTTCCTTTCTCACTCTGGTGCTGGCCATTGCATTAGGGCCACAGCAGTCCAGTGTGGCCTCACCCTGCCAGACTACATCTGCAAAGACCATGTTTCCAAGTGAAGTCAGGTTCCCAGGTCCAGATGGGCATGGACTTAGGGCTCATTGTTTCACCTGGTACACAGGGAGACACAGAATCTGCACGGACACCTGTATCCACCCGCTTTACTCATGTTTCTGAATGGAGAGGTAGCATTAGGCTCCCATAGCTGCAGCTGTAGGTCACATGTCATCACCCACCATGGGGGCCTGGACACGGAGACCTCAGTTCAGTGAGGGGTCAGATAGATGCACAGATGCACAGTTACTGTGCTGCAGTTACAGAATAGAGAACCATGTCTGCTCAGGACTACTGCATTTTTTTGTTTTCTGATGATTGTTATCTGTGAGTAGACTTCTTCTCTTTACATACTACCTACAAGGGGAAATTCTTCACTCTACTTGTTTTTTATTGCCTTTTCCTCATGGATGCAGAAAGAATGGTTTTCACACTCATTTGAAAACTAAGTATTTCAAATTTACACATTCATTTATCCAATTCAGTTGGGTCCTGAAATCTTTCATTTTAGGATTTAATAGTCAATTTGTGTGTGTGTGTGTGTGTGTGTGTGTGTATGTCAGAACTGGGGTTTGCTTGTTAGACAGGTGCTTTATCACTTGAGCCACTCCTCCAGCCCTGTTTTGTGTTGGGTATTTTTGAGATGGGGTCTTGCTAACTATTTGCTTGGGCTGGCCTCAAACCATCATCCTCCTGATCTCTGCCTCCAGAGTAACTAGGATTACAGGTGTGAGCCACCAGTGCCTGGCTTAATAGATGAAAATTTATCATTAAACATTATGTAGATGGATCACGTGTGCATAAATGAAGTAACTATGAATTTTCACCTTTGAACTATTTTTTTTAATATGAAATGCTTCACAAATTTGCATGTCATCCTTATGCAGGGGCCATGCCAATCTTTTTTGTATTGTTCCAATTGTACTATATGTGCTGCTGAAGCAAGCACTTTTGAACTATTTTTGAATGTTTTTACATCAAATGCCCTTTTTTTGGTGGTGCTGGGGTTTGAACTCCGGGCCTGTGCATGCTATGCAAGTGCTCTACCATGAGCCATGCCCCAGCTGTTAAATCAAATGCTTTCATTGAATAACTACCCACTATCGCCAGGGTTGTCCTAACGTGGTTTCCAACCAGGTAATTTTTACATGCTGGCCTATGACTTTGTGTTCAAGTCTAAATCTGAAATAAACTCACCTGTCATGTTACAAAAGCCTGGGAAGGGCTCCAGTGGTCCACTGCCATCCAGGTCGAAGTAGTAATGACCTGAGGATTTGCCCTGGTGCTTGTAGGCCTCGCAAGACTGCTCATGGCGAGCTGGGAACCATGGAATGGAAACAGCACTTAGCATCTTTAATCAAAGCTGAAGGGAATTCAGGTTCTGCCTTCATAGTGAACATCTGCCCTCCAGGAGAAAAGCGGCCCTATCTTAAGCTGTCCTAAAGTTCTGTGTGCGCTAATACATATAACTGGCAAGAAGGAAGGAGCGTGGCAATTACTTTTTAAAAATTCTGTGGTGCTGAGGAATGAACCCAAGGCCTTTAGAGTGCTAGGTAAGTGCTCTGCCACTGAACCATGCCCCAGTCCTGCAGTTACTTTGTAACTCTTTTATATCCCTAAAGGCGAGTAACAGCTGGGAGAGTCCAATGGGAGTCAGTGTGTCATGATACATGATACATGGGAGGAGATCACCAGTGCATTTCAGCATGAGGACAGGCAGGGATCCAACCTGGGGCATGGCCATGTCTGGACACCTAGGGTTGGGGAGCTCCAGACGTGGGATCAGGAAGGCTGCTAATATCCTGTAATGCTTAGCCTATTCTAAGAACAAACACTTTTCTTCCCCAAATGTCAGGAATGCTGAAGTTGGGGACCCATCTCCCAGATGAGGGATGATGGATTGATGCAATGGGACCTAAGTGCTCAAGTGTTCGGCTACCCTAGGGATGGAGTCAGGTCATCACACAAGCTGTCAACACAGGCTGGACTTCTAAGAACTTGCAACACATACTTCAATCATCTCCATCATCAGCATCAGGGGCAGATGGCAGGCCTGGGTCTGAATCCCATAGACTCAGCCCTCTGGAACTCCTTTCCAGGGCCTCCTGAGAATCTGCTTGATTCCACAAAGACTAACACTTTGGTAGTGATCAGGCCCAACTTCAGAAACCAAACAAAATGTTTGGGACATTGGATTTTGTCTCACATGTTCTGATTACAGTTGGTTTCCTTTGTCTGTTTCCTTCATGTTACTTCATCTTTCCTATAAAATTTTCTGTTTCTATGACTTTAATTAAGCAACCTAGAACTCAATTATTTGTCTGTTAGCACTGCAGGAGAAGGCATGCATTATACAGAGAGGGTGGGGAGCCTGACTTACAGCGGTGGCAGGTGGCACCCATGTAGCCAGTGCTGGAGCAGTTGCAGTGGAAGGCTGTCCAGGTCTGGGAGCAGGTGCCGCCATGCTCGCAGTAGTTGGGCAAACACCTGCAAGAAAGAGTGATGTCTGTTCACCAACAAAAGTATTCAGAAAGGCAAGAACAGATGAGCCTGTACTGAGGGTTTCAGCCCCATACTGAGCCCTAAGCCAAAAAATCTGTCAGACTCCCTGGATGCATTTGGACAGTTGGCCCTGTGACCCTTCCCTTCTCTTGGAGAACTGTTTCTTTTTTCTTCCACAACAACTCACCAGTACTTTACATTATTAGTCAGGAATAGCAACTGCTTATGAAAACAGCAGTGATGTCTTATCATGCTGAATTTCCTGTTGTTTTAGTTTTCAAAAGAAAGTGGAAGGGAAGGGAGACTGGGAGGAGAGATAGAGAGAGATGGGTAACATGTGTTACCCACATGTTATGTTGGGCCAGGGCCCTGCAGGCTGCTTATCCTGGGCTCACAAGGGCCACTCTGACTCTTTCCACTTGGGACTTAGAATGAAAGGCCAGTTGGCACCAAGGTTTTATGTGCATTTTGCTTTCCCAAGAAAAACAAGTGAATTGAGGAACACTCAGGAAAACTGACAGCTGTCTTTGTGTGATGGGAACTTTGCCATCTTCCCAGCTAGATGAAGAATGAGGTACCTGGGACTTCACTTACAGAACTTTCCTGAATTGTAATGGGGCACTGCTTCATTGATTTTCTTGAATATAAATAAAGACAAATGTTCATTATCAAATATTAAGACAACCCAGAGGAGCACAAAAAACCCCCATAAACATAGTTTTGTAATCCTAGAACATAAAATACCCCATATGGTTATGCATACATGCATGTTTATGCTGAAGTATGTGGCATGAAATTATATATGATATTTTGCAATCTCTTTATCAATGATTCATTAATATGTCATGAGCGTTTTCATGTCAATAAATTTATGTTAGCATTAGCTCTCTGATCACTTAAAGAAATCAATGACCATAGTTACCACAATTTGTTTAAAATGTTATGTATTTGAATTTAATAGACATCTAGAATGATGAAGAGAAGTTATAAACAATTAAAATAGCAAAACAGTAACACTAGTGATGAATGAGATACCTAAAGAACAAGTCCTATAGAAAGTGATTTTAGCATGTGCAGAGCTTAGTACTGTGTGCAGAAAATAGACGGGGTCCCCCATTTCCCAGGTAAGTGCACCATTCTCTAATCTGCACATGTGTCACAATTGCTCACCAAGTCCCTTTCTCTATTCTTGGTCAAAGGAGGAGGAATCCACCTGCTCTACCCGGTGGTGGCTGGCCCCTGCTAAACCTCAGCACATGGTCTCTTCCTGCACACCCAGGCTCTGGAGTCCCCTCCAGGTCCTCAACCTGGTGGCTCCCTGAGACTGCTGTGAGGTTTCCATTGAGTGAACCACACATGGACACCCTCCTGCTTAGGACTGTGGATGGGCATCTCTTATCAACTCCCCTCCCATCCTCTTATCATGGGCCTGCACGCTTGAGAGTCTGTCCTTGCCTGCTCACTCCCCCTCAGGGACCAGAGATCTGACACCAGCAGCAACTCCCAGACCTGGTCCCTTTGCACACCATGGCCCTGGGAAGGGGACGCTACATTTTATCTGTTGTCAGACATGGTCAGTGCTGTTGTGTATGTGTGCATGTCCATGTGCTTGCCTCTATGTGTGAGCCAGCATTTGTCACACTGAATGTTATGTTACACAGTACCAAATAGGGTAAATTCACAATCTGTAACACTCCATCTAACACCCCAGTCATGTTAAGAAGCAATAAAATATGGTCATGTAAGAAGGAAAAACTCATTAACCAAAACCAATGCAGAATTGACAGAGGTCATGCCCTTGTCCTAAACAAGAAAAAAACGCAGTGTACATATGGAAGACATAAAAAGGCACCAGTTAACTTTCTAGAAATTAAATTACAATGCCTGACATAAAAACACACTGAATAGTGTTAATATCAGATTAGACATTACAGAAAATACTAGCTAACATGTAGGCAAAGGAGAAAATAATCCCTTAAATGAAAAACATGAATGAAACATGTGGGCTGTGGACAATTCCCAGTGGTCAACTCTGCACAAAATTAAAGTTGCCCCAGACAGAGAAGAGGAGCCGAAGGGAAAATATTCGAGTAAATAATGGCAGCAAATCCCCCAAATCTGATGAAACTTAGAAACCCACAAGCCCAAGAATCCCAATGTCACATAAGCACACACAAATGGATAAACTATATTAAAACCAATTGCAATGAAATTGCTTAAACTGCAATGAAGACCATCGTTAAAGCATCCAGTGTAAGGAAATGTTTTGTCCACAGGGAAAAGAGAAAGATAACAGAAGATTCCTATGGGAGATGATGGGGCAGGAAAGAGGGAACAAGACTGTGAAGCAATGTAAAAATCCATCAAATGAGAATGCCACACCTGGTGAAAGTGCATTTCAAAAACAAAGGTGAGACAAAAACTTAACCAGACATCACATGTTGAAATAGTTAAGAAACATGTAAAAGAGCAGGCCCAGAGCTCTGAAGAATGAACATTAAGGAACTTCTTCAGTCAGAGGAAAAATGACCCAGAATGGTAGCATTCGTCTACACCAAGGAGCAGAGAGCAATGGGGAGGTACCTGCATAGCTGTGCTGGTATGGCTATGCTGTCATTTAAGTTTTGTTAAAGAGAATGACGTAGGGAATATTTACGACATGGGTAGAATGAAAGCACACTGACCACAGCACCAAGACTGGGAGGAAGCACAGAGAGAGCAGCGCTGTAAGCCACACTACAGGTCAAGGCTGTGGTTCTTCTCCAGCTGGTTATGAATTCGGCACAAACCTGGTCAAATTCCCAGAGGAAGTTTTTAAAGAAATGTACAAGCTAATTTTGAAATTCATATGAAAATTCAAACACCTAGAATAACCAAAAAATTGCAAGAAGAACAAAAGGAGTGAGACAACGGGCTTCTGAAGCTACTGTGCCACTATGGTAAAGTGGGGTAGCAGTGCTGGGGACATGGCCTGCAAAGGGGCAGTGGTTACCAGCAACACCTCCCAGCCTCATCATCCAAATCCCATGTATAAGTTTATTTGTGAATGTCTCCTTTTTACAAGTTTTCATCATGGAAGGAATTTTCCATCCAAAATTGATAGAATGTGTACATGTGGGAAGATTTTCTGGGTTTTAAAAAAATCAAGTCTTAGAGTGAGTCATCATTTGGTGAGAACTGTGCTTTCCCTATCTAATTACTGTTCAAAGAAAGACTAAGGGGCATGGTGAATCTGAGAACAGATAAAAATGAGTGATGCTTATTCCAATTGGATAAGAGCTGATGGAAAGGGAATGTTCAAGTAGTGCTCACCCAAAAGTACATTGGCAGTTAGGTGGGAATGCAGACTGGTCATGCTGTTGACCCAAATAATTCAAGTTGCAGAGCCTTGCAACTCCTGCAATGGCAGCATTTAAGCTCTGATCTTTTTCTAATTCTTTTTACAGTATGCATCTTCTCTCCAGTGACACCCCTGCAATGTCCTGTGGACAATGACAGTGACATCAACAATGTGTGTTCTGAATGAACGTGGGAGAGAGAGCAACACTCTAGCACCTTCTGTCCAAATGCCAGAATTCAAGAGACTCTATTTTACACAACTATGAACATGATTTTCCTTACCTTCTCATAGGAAGCACAATCATCTCACTTTCTGTCTAATATTGGCCTTTGGGTGGGGGGAAGAGAGATAGAGAGAGGGGGGGCGGGGAGACAGAGAGAGACAGAGACAGAAAGGGACAGAGATGGGACAGAGAGACTGTCCATCCAGGGTACTTTTGTCAAGTACAAGGTTGCCAGAAAGCTGCCCTTACCTGTCCAGGATGCCACAAGTGTCTATCTGGACATCGCTGAAGTTCCCCAACACCCCCTGCTGCACGGAGATCAGATCCGCTGGGTGGGCATTGATGGAGATGCCTCTGAGACATCCCTGGAAACCACTTGGTGAGGGCTCACAATCAGCCCCAGGGCCACGAGGGAGGCACCCTGATCAGTCAGAGATACAAGAGAACTGGTGAGTGGGACACACTGCACACGGATCCCAGCCTGAGAGGCAGTGGTGCCTCCGTGTACAGATGCCTGAGGCTAGACTTAGGGTGGTGAGGGGTCTTCTGCTCATTGGAAGGACAGGAACATGGAAAATAACAGAGTCAAGAATACAAAAAAGATAGACCAGGCATGGAGCTTCACGCCTGTAATCCCATCTACTTGAGAGATGGAGGTAAGAGGATTGTAGCCCCAAACCAGTTTGGGGAAAAAATGCTGGATTCTATCAAAAACGATCTAAAGAAAAAACATCTGGGGGTATGATTCAAGTGGTAGAGCTGTTGGGATTTAAAATTCTCTCTGAACATGAAGCATCATCTTTATGTAAAGAAAACTGAAAAATATAACTCCTTTTAGCAGTATGGATTTTATGTGAAAAATCAGATGCACACAGATTTAAAATTAGAATTTAAAATGAGGACTTATTACATATGCAAACTGCTAGAACTGGAGTTTGAACCGTGATGTTGAGCCTCAGTGTGATGGGTCACTTCCTGGGAAGCCCTGTGAGTGCCAGGCTCATTCACGTGGGTTCCTAAAGACTTGTGGAAGCAGGTCTTTTAGGTGAGTTAGGTAAACATATAATCAAAACCTAACTTTGAACATTAATGTCTTAATACCATAAAAGGTAACAGCACATAGACAGTGGCACGTATGTCCTTCCAAAGTGCTACCTTGCAGCAATGCTGTACCGGAAATAGATTATCACTTGATCATTCCTGAAGTCCAGACACCACCTTTGCCCAACTGCACCCTTGGTCCCAGGCAGTCCGTCCTGAGCCTGTCCAGGTGACAGTGGCCCTTGATTCCTGTATCCCAGCACCTGTGTGGCTTTCTCCCACCTCACTTCCTGCCCAGTCCTCAGAGCCCAGGTGGAGGATGAGGAACCTGTACGCGGGCAGCCAGTGCTGGCGGTGAAGCAGGGGGCTTTCGTCAGCATTACCAGAAAGCCGCCACATCTGCTCATGCTGTCAGCATTCAGGTCACATGATGCTGGGCGTTCTTCTGCTTATAGTGCTGTGGGACTTGGATTTTGTACTTCACTTGTTCCTCATCCATAAAACAGTACCTCATTAATCCCTTTCCTGGAGCATCATTTTTCCCTAAGTACAGGTTTAAAAGTTTTGTCATTGTTTACATTTAGGAAATCTCTCAATTATTCAAATGACAGAAATTAACACTGTATCACTCCTAAAAAAAGGGGTTTGAGATGTTATGATTAGTTTGTTACATTTTAACAAACTATAATAAACAATGTTTTTAAGCATAGAGTTCAGCTGCCAAAATTTTTTGGTGGTTGTTATAAGAACTCCCCTGCAGCCCTATATTAATGGTCACAGATATCAAAGTCAGGGAAAAAGAATCAGGAAGCAGTCTCACTATTGTCAATCCGTACAGCTTTCCATGTATTTAGTTACATGTCTGATTTTCATTTTTGTTCGAATAAGTCAAAACTACTCAATGCTTTCTCTTCCAATAATTTACATTGTGACAAATATGAGTACACATGTATACTCCATTGTAAATCACTTTAAGTACTATGTGCAAATAGTGTGAAATTTTAAATTTAAAATTAAAAATCATGTCACAAAGTTCTGGTTTGACACTGAATCTTTTTTCTCATTGTTTTCTTATTTTAAGGGTAACACATACAGTTCAAATAGCTAAATACCTACCAAAGACTAGACACAGTGAATCTGTTTATCTCCACAACTGAGGACTACAGCATTACCTGCCCAATATTGAGTATTAGGTTCAAAGGATATTAATGCAGTAAAATTTTTGAGTAATCACAATATTCTAGAAATATAATAATTCTGCTAATCTTCCTTTTTCATAAAATGTGTTTAAACTTTTCAAAATAAACTAAATGGTGAAACTGCGGCTGTGGGGCTTCTCAGAGGAATGGCCTGAGCCCTGGCTGTGGGAGGAAGGAGGCTGCAAACCTGGAGGGTTCAGCTCAGTCCCTCAATGGACACAGGGCCTTTGAGGGCCAGGAGGTGTGGGGCAGAGATGTCCAGCCCCGAGTCCATTGTTGACTAGCAGAGGGAGCAGTGTCCTCACTGGCTGCATCCTGCCCATGACCACTGAGGGATGCAGCAGTGTGTTGGTAATGAATGGTGTCTTTGCACCAGGCTCTCTTGTTGCCAAGTGAAAACTTAAATGCATCCCGTAGCTCTGCTTGCTTTTAGTTGATTTTTTGAAGCTCTCTAAATTTGGAAGTCACAGAGCCAGGCAATGCATCATTGGTTTTCCCACACACCCACCTATGCTGTAGGTGACATCTCTGACCTCAGTCACCTAATGTGTACGAACTTCTCCAGGCAGTTTTTCACTCCCTTCCTCTGTTCTCTGGGGAAAAACTTCCTATGTATCCTAACAGCCATAGAATTAACTATTCCTAGGAAAAGAAACTTAGAAGATATTAATGAGATCTTTCTAATTAGTGACTTTTCTTTAGATTTGCAGAACCCAGAACATCCTGTGACCTACAATACCTCCTGTCAGAAAAGCCAAGATTCCTAATTACTGACCTCCCTCCCCACAGCCCACAGACCAAGGGAAGATGGTCTTTGTGGGTGACAAAGTTTGGTTTTCTGGCTTTCCAAATCAATCTTTTCCCTCACCCAACAGCAGGTCCTCAAGTCATTGGCTGGGAGTCCCACTGGACAGAAGTCCAAGGCCAGAGCAGACCTGGTGGGGGGATCCCCTTGGGGGGTACACTGGATCTTCGCCTCTGCACAGTAGAGGTTTCCCTGACTCACAAGGAGCCTGGAGGCTTCCCTGGAGGCAGCACCAGAGAAAAGTGAGGGCAGGAAGGACCTGTGGGTTTGTCAGCATTTGGGATGTGAGCAGGAAGACAGGCAGTAGGCCCTGATAAACATACCTATGTAAATGGATCTGAGTCACAAAGGGACTCTTGTGATTTTTAGTGCAAATTTTACCTCAAGAAGTGCTTAGAAAGTAGTGAAGTTGTTTGTATCTGCTGAACTCTGGGGAAATCAGCCCTATGTGCAGAACCAAGGAAGTAATACCCCTGCCATAGCATGGAGGGCAGTGAAGATGGACGGTGGTGTCTCTACTCACCTCCAAAGCGGTAGCTGTTGCCTGAATCCATCTCCACAGGGACCAGGGCATGGGTGGCAGCTACACCCTCGTCCACCACCACACTCAGGTGGCCCCTCTGAGCCACGAGGGAGACAGAATGCCATTGCCCATCATTCAGCCCAACATCTGGGAACCAAAGCCAGGTAAAGGAGATGCCTGTGAGCCACAGATCCCAGGAATCAACAAACCCAATAAATACAGAATTTGAGGAAGGGGGTTGTCACCCATCTACCCCATCCTGCCAGTGTGCTCTACATTGTCCCTATCACCTGGCCCAGCTCTCTTTCCTGCTCTGTCCTTGTGACTTAACTTTGGGGGATACAGAAATAGTTATTCACCCAAGTTCTAGGGGAATGTAGAGAGCTCTGTTATTGTCTTACATCACAGCCTCCGGGTCAGGACCCTGCCCAAGGCAGATGCTGTGAGCCACTCCTGTGACTGAGCTTTGGACAAGGACTTCTACTATCAAGGTGTGGTGTTGACCTGGGTACCAATGCTGTGTCATCTGTCTATCCTTACACATCTTCTGAAACCTCCAGAAGTCCCTAGCCTGGACCCACAGGTGTCTCTACTACTTCTCTCGTCAAGGTGCTGAGCAGGCCCTCGCGCTGAATAGAATGGGGGTGGGGGGTGGGGGGGGCTGAAGCTGTCCAGGTTAGGAGGGGCTGAGGTGGCCTACTGCCCACAGGTGTCTGATCCAGGGCCTGGTCTCTGCCGCTCTGGCATGATGGGCCAGAGACCTGCACTGCTGCTCAGGTTCTGGAGGAGAGTATCTCCTGGGCCAGCTGCCTCGGTGCACCCAATTTCCAGTTATTCAAGAGAATCTGACAGTTGGATTTTAATGTTAACTCTCCTGTTTTTTTAAATTTTTATTTTTTATTATCATAAATTAAGTGTAGAAGGGAGTTGCACTGTGATGTTTCCACACATGGTTTCAGTGCACTTTGAGCCAATTTTCCTCCCTCAATCCTTATACCCCTTCAAGCAATTTTTAGTGGCCATTGCCTGTTGCTTTAAAAGAAAAGTGAACAAGAAATAGTGCTGTCCACCAGAGCACAGGTGAGGGCAGCCATTCCTATGGTGGACAGTGTTTGGGACCCAAGAGTAAACATGGAGCTAGTTAGAAAAATAGTTATCACACTGACCAAGTCAATACAATTGGAATTTCACATTGTTCCCATGTAGGTCATGGGCTGCTCTAGGGGGACCACTGTCATCTGAATATCTTTTGATTTGACAGTCAATCTTTTGGCAAAGATTAACAAAATGTTTGTGTCACTCAGAGTTATATTTGACCTGTACTTGGTTGAAATAGTATTTTTAAACAATTTGAAATGAAGTTTTCAAAGTTGGAAATTACACTGGAATTTTTACCCAACAAGGTGTGTATGTATGCAGGTACACAAATTGTAACTCAGTTCAGCTCCATTTTTAGCACATCAGAATCTCAAGGAATAACAGATTACCATTATAAATCTCCTATAATTAAGAAAAAACACTCTTTAATAGAAAAATTAAATTTATTATAATCATAAGTATGTCATTCTCATTAAGTTCTGTTGAAATTTCATAGCTGTGTTTCAAACAGTGCCTTAATTATCAAATGGTCAGCCTGAGAGCCCTAAGTCAAAAAATCTTTGCTTATGTGGAAGGAAACTGTCAAATAATCTATAGTTCAATCACATAAGCTTTAAATACAAAATTTCGTTGCTTCACTAAATCTAACAATAAAGAATTTCACCATGAAGAACAACAAACAGTGGGAATTGGTGGACAAATGTCTGATCACAGGTAACCAACCCTCTTCAACCATGAGGAGTGTGTTCTGGGTCCTGTGCACAGCACGGGGTTAGTAATGTTGGACTCCTAGAGCAGACCTTAAGTGGGTGACAAAGACCACCTTGCCTAGCAAGTTGTGAGCCTGTCCCAGAGCTCATTGCTCTGATACAATGTGTGCACCTTGTGTACCTCAAATAGATACAAGGTATCATCACCCTTGGTAACGGGGGTTAATGCACCTGGAAGCAACATTTACACTTGGACAAAGAAGGCAATCAGAAGTGTTGTACCCAGGTAAGCCTCTGGTTCTGCACCTATATTCACAAATGGTCTGCCTCCTGCTAATTTTGAACATGGCCATATTTAATAATCTGATGTAGCTCTGCATGGCAAATCACCTGCAAATTTGATGGTTTTTAACAGCTTCATCAGTTTCTGTGCCTGGGTGGGCTGTTGGTAGGATTTGGATCCTGTGGACCGAGAGCTCTGCCCTCAGGACCCTCCCCTGGGACTCATGGCATGACTGCTGACCAACCAGGGTCAACCAGCACATGGCCTCACTACCCTGATCCCAAGATGCCCATTGCTTTTGTCACTAGGTCCAGCCTGCTGAGAGGACTGCGTGGAACAGGACACCTGGAGTGAGGTACCTGGGCCACTGGGGTGTCCACCAGATCAAGTCCTAGCTGACTTCTGTCAGGTCTGAGCTTGCTGTGAGGATCTGAAGGTGTCTCAGAACCTTATTCCCAGCAGTTTTTCACACATTTGCACCAACATGCCAGGAAAAGGATTCAGGCCTCTGCTTGTAAAGTGTCACTGATAAGATAGTGTGTCTCAGATGTTCTGTGTTCGGTCATGACTGACTCCCAAGGGTAGTAAATCCTACAGTGACAGTCCATTGGCTATAAATTGACACTCTTCTGTCCCTTGCTTAAAAACTTGCTCATGCTTAAATAGCAAATCTGATTTATGCTTCCCAGGCCCCGACCTCCTGCAAACTCATCTTGTTATTAATGTGAAGTGGGCAGGCAGAGGTCAGTCCTTTGTAAAAATATCCAAGGACAACTGATTTTGGAAGTTCTACTTTTATTTTTCAGGGATGGATAGATGGAGGAGAAACAGGAACAAGTTTTAGTTTTCTATACTTATAGAAATGACATGCCTGGTTTTCTTCATGTTTAGCTTCAAGGGAATTTTCTACTGTTTCTACTTTTTTCATGTTTCACTGCTTTTGTTAGAGGAAGTGTGTCACTAGGCACCACCGACCAACGATTAAATGCAGGGCCTGGGTGTCATTCTATATCACCAAGTGCTCTACCCAGCTCTTCACTGAGAATTCTGATATTCATGGGCAGGAGAGAGTGCAGTCTTGCCAAAGCAGTGCCCCAGGTGGACTCCACAGACCATCGTTGTCAGAGACTCCTTAATGACACATCACTGATCACACAGCAAATGGCAGGACTGCCTGGGGTGCACCTCCCCTCAGTCAGCTCCTGTGTCTTATGGACAGGTGTTTAACTCTAGATAGGTACTCAGCCCTGAAGCTGAGGCTGGTTTGACCAAAGCTTCACATAGAGGAGGAAGACACCCCGCAGTGTGCAGGGGTCCATCTCACCAGCACCTGCTCCCACCTTCAAAGCTGTCTTCATTGTGTGGACACTTGTGTGACTAGTGGTCACAGCTAACAAGTAGTGTCACCAGTGTAAACAGGAGATGGCTGTGTTCAAGGGAAATGAGGCTTGCTTCTCTCTACCCAAGGAGTCACTTTAAAATCTGCACTGTGTGAAGCTCGTGGGGACCTATGGAGGGGCAGCCGAGTGGGATTGGTGAGCATTACCTGTGGTGACCTCACTGTGTGTGTGTCCTGGAGTTGAGTGAAGACCCAGCTTGAGGTTTCCGTCCTGGAGAGCGAGGAAGAATCCCCCAGAGTCATGGTGGGATTGGCTGGAAAGCAACAGCCCTGTGCTGTCCCATGTCCGGAACTGGAAGCTGACAGAGGCCCTGTCCTCCCCTGGGGTGCTGGGCAGCACTAAGTAGCTGCGGGTGCTCAGGAAGGTGGCTGGCATGGTCTTTGGGCCTGAGCAGGAGAAGGCCACGCTGCCCTGGGGATGAGATGGAGGTGCTGAGGGGTCTTCTGGAGAGGCACTCTTCTAGTCAAATGATCTCTCAGACAGACACCTTACCTGTCCATGTCCTCCCAGGAACCAGCATTGCAAAGCAGCCCAGGGGAGTTATGTGCTGCTGACCTCAGAGTGGACTAGCAGCTGCCCCTGCCACTGGCCCAGCATCCTTAGCCTCTGACTCACTGGTATCAAACCTACCGCCTCTCTGGAGACACAAACATGACAAAACCCCTTTCTCCCCTGAGGGCTGGGGATCTGGCTCCAGGAAAGTCTGGGTGAACTGCCTCAGGGTGACCCAATGACCATGGAGGTCCCAGTTTCCACAGAAGGACCCAAAGGACCCATGAGCCAGAGCTGATGGCTTCTGACTGGGGCTGAGTCTGCTGTGAAAAATTCATCTTTCAGGAGAAGACCTGTCAACAAAGTCTGAGGGATTAGGCTTTCAGTGGAATGATGTTTAACTGATATATTAATGACAGGACAAGAGGACAGGCTAAGCCTGTGTCCTATGGCAGAGCCTTCAGAGAATCCTGAGTTGCAACCAAAGCCTAGGTGAAACCAACACTCATGTTTATTCTTTACCATCTGCTGTAGGTCACAGAAAATATCACAACAGCTAATTAGGTCCCTGTCTCCAAAATCCCAAGTTAGCACTCTGTTCCCAACATCTCAAGAACACCTCCATGTTTAACATCAGGGCTCTGGGGGTTCTCATCCTGTGAGACTGGCAGCTGAGGCCCTAGAGGACCTTGTATCCACCCAAGGAAGGCAGGAGGCAGGCCTTCATCAAAGCCACATTTTCTACCTCATGAAACAAAACATTAGCTGCATTTGCTTTGGTTTGGGTTCACTCCTGTTGCTCCTGTTGGGGAGCCCCTCAAGTGAGGGTTGCCAGCCTGTCCCTGGGGGAGGGGGCAGCTCTTACCGTAATGAGGACCTGTGGTCTGTGCCGCTTGGCCATGTCAATAATATTGTCCCCATTAAAATTGATGTTTTCCAAACATCCAAGGAAGTTTTTTCTTTGAGACGACTCTGATTTCCTGGGTGTTGCTATCCCTCCAAAGCTGATCTTAGAAAGAAACATAACGTCAGTAATGTTCTCTAGTAATGATTTTCTGGCAATCCACTTAAAACATCTGTGAACCATGGATAGACTAATTTTGCATCATTTTATATTATGAGCCTGCTGATTTTAAGAGAAAAGACGCCTTATGTGATCTGCCTCAGCCCACATGAGAGCCTCAAGCCTGAGAGTAGAGGAGGTAACTCAGCACTGGACTGAGGACCAGGGTCAGGAGATGGGCAGAGGCTGCCTAATGGGTCATGGGTGCCACCCTAACAGGGGACACTGTCTTTTTTGGAGACCCTGGCTAGGTTAGTGCCTATGCCAGTAGGTTGTCATAGAAACAGCATGCCTGACCTTGAGATCTCTGGTTCCATCTCTCCATGTGCTCCCGCCTCTTGCACATGCTCCTGCCATGACACCATTGCCATGTTGTGATATAGCCAGAGGCCCTCACAAGAGCTGGGCAGAGGTGGCATCTCCAGCACTGTGAGCTGAGTAACTGTTTTGTTTGCAAAGCCCCCAGCCTCGGGTGTCTTGTTATAGCAATAGGAAACAGGCTCAGATAACAAGCCAGACACATGGTCCCTGGAGCAGAGCATTCTAACCCTGTATATCTGTTTCCCTCTTAACCCATAATATGCTTTCTCTTTGAGAATTTCCACCTGGGGTGACCTTCCACATGACTGGCAGGTCCCCTGCTCAGGTGCAATACTAGGTGCCCTTTGGGATCATCTGGAGCCCCCACAATCCCTGGTGGGATTGTGTCCGTGTCCTGCTTCCATCTGGCCCTACTGTCCACTACCTACTGTCCTACCTACTGTCCACTACCCAGGGCTCTTCCCAGTAGGATGACCTCAACATTCAAGATCTGTATCTGAGCACAGTACCTGGAAGGCTTCATAGAGCAGGCATGTCACTGTCCTATGAGGGATGCCTGTCAAATCCTGCCCTGGCTGTGTCTGGGAGGGGATGTCTCATCTCTCTGTGTCCACAACACAGGAAAGAATGACCTGCCCAGACACTAGAGTGACCTCCTATTAGTATTCACCCCTGATGGCCATCCACCTGTGTGTGAAACAGCAAAGTACCATCTCTCCCACATCATTGAGAGTCTACGGAAATAATGTCATGGATGATAGTAAGTAGAACGTCCTGTGTGACCTGTTAGCTGTACCTACCATGCCATACATAGCCAATGAACACAGCCATTGTTCATTTTGTGTTAACCGCAGATAAACTTGAACCATCCTGCAAAAATGTCATTAAGATGTTCTGTCTTGGATTGGAGGTGTGGCTCAAGTGGTAGAGAGCCTTCAAGCATGAAGCCCTGAGTTCAAGTCCCAGTCTCACCAAAAAAAAAAAAGATGCTCTATCGTAATGTGATGGGCAGCTAGTAGAGGAGGCAGGTTAGTCTTTAGCATTGAATAGGATGGTGTGCTCATGTGCTACTATTTAATATCTCCAGTTGGAAAACTTTGCCAAATCTGTCATGTTTTCACTGAAGGGTCTACATATGTTCCACAGCAGGGAGACATTCACAGGTTTGGGGTTCAACAGATGGCTGGTCATCTCTTCCTTAGTGGACCATGCCCTGAATACAACACTGGGGATTGTCAAGGGTCAAGAACTCATCAGGGTAGAAATCCCACACCCACCTTAGCAAGTATCTTGGGGATCCCCCTGTGTGGTTCCTTTGAAAGGTATTTCTCTGCTCTCTCCAGACTAAATGACATTTAAATCCCACAGTCTTAAGGTTGGGATGTGGTTCAGTGGTTGAGTACTTCCCTAGCATGCATAAGACCCTGGGTTCGACCCCCCAGTGCTGCAAAATAACCCAAGAAACAAAACCAAAATCCAATACACAAATATACGAATGAATCCTATAATCTGCTCTGCAGATGAGGAAGCTGCACACCTCAGCATCCAGGTCCTCAGGACTTGGGGCTCCTGGGGCCCAGATGTGCTGCGAATGCCTGTCAACTCTGAGGTCCACCTGCTGCCCTGATTGCTTGACCAGCACTGAGTGCCAGTGTTCATCGTCCAGCAGACTGCCCAGCACAAGGCCATAGGGTGCAGACAGCGAAGGCTGTGCTGTGTCACCTGGGAAGAGGGAGAAGAGCCTATTAGGTCCCATCCAGCACTGTGTTCCCAAGAGGAGGTGGGTGTCTCCTGCCCAACCACCGCTGCTGTGCCATGACCACAACACTGCCTCTGCCTGTAGTCTCCACCCCTAGCCTCGCATAGCCGTTTCCCTAGAAGAGGCTCTTTGCTGTAGCTGTTCCTCAAACCACTGCATGCCTGTCCACATCAAGACACGGCAGTGTGCTCTACCAGGAAGACTTGTCACCTGAGTAGCCTCCGACCATGTCTGGAGATGTTTTTGATGGTCACAAGTTGGGAGTGAAAAGCAGGAATGCTGTCAATACCCCACCAAGCCAGGACAGCCCCCATCACAAAGAACTACCTGGTCCAAAGTGTCAGCAGGGCCAAGGTTGAGAGCTTGGGACATGCCTAAGTAGCCATGCCTGAATGGCTACTTTACAATTACTACACCACAAAGTACTTCTGCAGGCCAGCAGCTAGGATCCACAAGGAGAGGCCCAGCTTCCATAATGAGTCAGAGATGGGCACAGAATACTTTGGTACAAATTTCGCCCAAGGGATAAGACCCCTGGCCTGATTGGCCAGTCACGTCACGTCACCTGCATTGATGAGCAGAACAAGTTTTCCTCCCGCCAGCTCCAGGGTTTCGCTGCCTCCGTTTCTTCCCCCTCTGTGGAACACGGTCCCTTCTCGCTGCATTGTTTTAAATTTCAAAGAAATGGTGTGTTTCATTGAGCCACTGCCATTTTGACCAAATCTGTAAAGTAGGGAACTTTTCCCATCAAAACCAATCACGTCTGATCCTACAGAAAAAATAATGAAAGGTGTTCTAAGAATCAGGATGCTTCTTCATGTTGTGAAACATGGGAGTCTCGTAACCCATGAAACAGACATATCCACTCACGTGTGCACAGTCATACACGTGCATAAATTTTCACATACACACGTTTACACATATGCACAGCCATATACATGTGCATAGATGTGCACATACAGACACAAAACACGTTTGCACATATGCACACAAGGACACATGAATGTTTAAATGTGAACACACACATAGGCACACACAATACATGTGTGGACACATGCATGAATAAACACACACACATGTATATACACAGGCACACACACAATGTGCACACATGGGCAAGCAGGCACACACATACATAAACAGCACACGTCCAGCTTAGTCATCAGAAGATGCATCATTTCTTCCAGCAGCAGTTAGTGATGAACCTAAAGGTGTTTTTCCACAATCCACCCATAGAATTACTCAACACCATTTGAATGACTGTCATGCCATTAATGGGCTCTCTTCACAGTGAGGTCAATGCCAACCCTGAGAACTGCCTGCTGTGTGCCTGTCTCTCCACATCCTTGAGGCTGTTTCCTGTCTTCCTTCTACTGATGAGAACTGAAGCATTTCAGAGGAGGGGCTGCTGTTCCAAACTGCAGGTCTGACTGTTCCTCACTCTCATGTCTGCACTCCCTGTGAGGACGACTTTCTCACAAGCAAGACCTTATTATATAGTGAGCTTAGATGCTTCAGATAATCCAGGCAAACACCAAGAAGCCTCTGCAGCAGAAGACTTCCCCTCCCAGTTTGCCACAGCTGCCCTGCCGTCCCTTTCAGACATACCTGCTCTATCCCCTCCCAGGTCACATGCACTCTCTTCCTCCATGGAACCTGCTGAATATTAAACTCATACAGAAAGAACACTGTCATTGCCTAGGAGGAACTGCAGCCATTCATGGAGCTCTTTAAAGAAGGGTGAAAGAAATTCCCTGGGAAAATGCCTGTGTGCATCTTCTGGCGTTCCCACAATAGGGTAATGTCAGAGATGATGAGCAAAGGGGCAACAGCTGTGCTGTTGGGCGCTCCAGGTGATGCTGGAGCAGTGAGAGGGGAAAGGAGGTATCATGACCCTTGAGGGAGCAAGGGGCACTGTGACCTGTCCGGGAACCATTCCCACAGGACACTGCTGCAGCTGACCCTTCAGCTGGGAGTCAGAGCACAAAGGACTTGACCTCCTTCCTCCCTTATCCAGGGACACACACTCCAAATTCAGCCTCAGTAGGTGCCCTGAGCTGATGGAGCCCATGCCACCTGCCTCCTGGGTGCTCCCACAAACATGAGATGCTCACAACACACACATGTACACAGACACATGTATAGACACTCATGCACATGCACAAGACAATGCGTGCATTCATGTAAATATACACGTGTATACACACAGATACACATATGTTCAGACATACAGATATACATGCATGCATACATGTGCACACATGCACAAACACACGTGCACACAAGATGCATGCATAGATGCACACAGGCACACATGCATACAGAAACATGTACACACACAAGAGAGTTCATAAAGATCATATAGATGTAAGTATTTGGAGGTAGGGGTCTTCTGACACTTGAAAAATTCCCTCAAGGTTTCCTTTGGGAAAACTTTTGAGAACCAACCCACAGCCTGCTTGGGCTTCCCAGTTGACCACTGTGGGTGGTGGCATGCATCACTGAGCTGTCTTTGCCTTGCAGTGGGTGCCTAGGTGGTGATGACTGGTGTCCACTGAATATAGAGATGTATTCACCCTGTGCCTCTAGCCCAGGTTCTGTCAGGTCCTTGTGTTCCCACTGTCAGAGTGGCTGTGACCATACTGGGCATTAGCCAGAACCCATCTGCATGACTACTACATAAGTATGCAGTGCTGTGCCTCAGAAGCCCCTCACAAGCTGTGCTCCAGCCCTCTGTGCAGTGGCACAGACCCTTGGTGGGTCACTCAGTTTGGGTAGAAAGGAACTTGGTTAAATGTCCTCCCCACAGGGTGCTTCTCCTTCCCTGCTGCCTCATTTTCTCCAGGGGATCCTGACTGAACACCTGATGACAGTAGGTCCAGCTTCCAGCTGCAGAGGCCCAGCTGGAAGAGTGCCAGCCACAGCTCCAGCACTGCTCATCACTACAGAGTGAGCTTTTTCAGTCTTAAGTGACTTGTGTTTGGTGTCACGTTGCCAATGCCACCCATTTTCCTTTCAAAGATGGTCAACATTCAATCAGGCAATTGTAACACTTTCAGGATGCATGTTCAGCCAACTCCCCTCAAGATCCCCTTTCTTTCTGTCTGGATGTCAGCTCTGGGCTGATCTTGGAGGCACTTGAAGACACTCTAGCTGCTCACTCCATGCTCTTGATGATGTTTATTCACACACAGATTCACAGATTAACAAACAGTAACAACATCACCTACATGGTTCAGATGGTCATGATAATAGATCTGGTTGCCATGGAGACAGAGCAGGTTGCCATGGATGCTCATAAGAATGTCACCTGACCTGTACAGAGATGGCCAGGCAGTTATCAGACAAGGAGCTCTGAGAGCTGACCAGCAAGCCCTCAGGTGTAACAACTGGGTGGGGGATGAAAGGAACTAGGCATGGAGCAATGTGGGCTGAACACTTGGTGGGTGGGTGTGAAGTTCAAATATGGGTGGAACTGAACCATGGTGTAGAGCTGAGAGAAGGATCTGCAGGAGGACCATGTGGTCCTGGGGGTCACACTGTGCTTGGGGTCTGGGCTGTCACAAAATCTTGCATAACTAAGCATTGTGATGTGTGATCCTTTCTATATGTCTGTCATACCTGAAATATCTGTTCTCAAAAACAAAAACAAAAACAAAACAAGTGAAGTCAGGCAGGGATTGTCCAGGCACCAGGGACCTTCTGTTCAAGGGCCCATGACCATGTGTTGCCTCAGGGTTCCAAGGGTGACAGCTGGGTCATTGGGGCTGCTGCATGGACTGAGCTGCCAGGGTAGAGGGAGACTGCAGGAGGACTCGGGATAGAGCCTCAACACAGAGAGAGGGTGTGGGGCCACATCTCCATATATGGGGTCACACTTGGGAAGACTCTTCTCACTGTGAGGGGGGCCGGGATGCCTCAGGGAAGCTGTGGTTTTGGGGCAGAGCCCTGTGGTCAGACAGTAAGAGTGTAGGTGTATTGAGAATAAGCCTAACAGTGGAACCGCAGGGCCACTGCTGGTGTGAGGCTAGTGTGATTTCACCAGTGCAGTACTGGGTGTGAGCAGGCCCTTTTCTGTAGGAAGAACACAGGCCACGGACAGTTTTATGGGGGAATAAAAGAAAACCTTCAATTTTGATTGAATGAGGAGTCTTGGGGAGGTTGGATGTGGAGGTAGATAGACTCCAGAGGCCTGTGGAGGACAGAGATGCAAGTCAGCTACAGCCTCTTCTAGCACAGAGGAAGCAGAGGAAAAGCCTGGGTGACCAAGCCATGAACTCCTGGCTAGCAACCAAGCTCTCCTATCCACATGCCAGGCTGCCCAGCTGTCCTCTTCACAAGGCCTCAACTGCAGCCCACAGGGCTGGACAGCCCTGCACAGCAAGAAACCTGCTGAGTTTAGGGAGGACTCAGGCCCTGCCCACACAGCTTGCCCTTTGTAGGAATCTCATCCAGTTGGCTTAGCGAGAATCCCCACCGTGTCTATCCCAGTCATGTTGTCCTCTGACCCTGCATGGCCTTTGAGCTGTGAAGCAGCTATCGCTGCTTGTGGACGGGGTGGAGGTCACCTCTCCCCATCCAGTACCCGGAACAACCAGCTCCCATCACTTTAACACGTCAGAACTCTTCCCCTTTAATACAGGAGCCCACAAATATGCAGAAAAACATGGTGCTGAGGGTTGGATGGGAACTCTGGAGAAGGAATGCAGTGTGTGGGGAGTCATGGAGACTAGATGAAGGGGGAAATTCATCCAAAGCCTGCAGGGCAGAAGAAATCCTGTGGTACCACCTGACTTCAAAGCTGGAAATGGGGCAGGAGAGACTGAGGCCCAGCATGGGAATGGAGGCCAATTTAGGAGACGAAGGCCCAGCATGAAAAATGGGTCCAGTGTGGGAGACTGAGGCCCAGCAGCAGCACTGTGTGGGAAGCACCTGGAAAGGAGATGTCGGGGTCTTCTTAGGGTGGAACTGTGGAGGGAGGGAGCAGACAGTGGGGATGTCCACCCGCATCCACGTACCACACTGGAAATGCACTGAGGAGTGTGGAACCATGGGCAGCTCTCGAGATGAACTGAAGAGCTGCATCCTCTCCAGAGCAGTGGCTCTTTCTGAGCCTGGTGACAGATCACCCTGTGAACTTAAGCCACTCTCATGCTCCCCACAGCACAACTGTGCTGAATTTGGGTCACTCCACCCCGAGGGGAGATTAAGCAATGTCATGGAAGCAAGGGCCACACACGAGAGCCACATCTGGCCTCAAGTGTGGCATTCTCAAGGATGACTGCCTGGGAGTCCTGGGACCTGGAGGAGACACAGCCTCCAGCTTAGATAGATCTAAGAGAACGTGGTGGCAGGGGCTTAGCTTAGGTGCCTTTGGGCTCAGGACAGTCCAGAGGTACAGAGATGGGTCCAGGAGGGAGTCCCACTAGGGTGTGACTGCCCCTCCAGACTCCCAAGTCTGGACAACTCTGAGTGTCTGCTCCTACCGGACTCCACTCCCAGCCTGCTCCCCAAACACTGCTCACAGGTCCCAAATGACCCCCTAAGCCATGCTGTGCCACCTCGCTTGCACTGATCTGTACATCCACTTCCTGGTGTGAAAACATGGACAAGCCTCTGTTGGGTCACCTTCCACAGCTCTCCTCAACCCCAGCTTCTGAGGACAAGAGATCTGCACAACTCTGTTCCCCTACTTTTCACTCCCCACAGAGACTCCACATCCAGGAGGCCCCTGCATGACCTACCAGCCATGCAGATCTCAGGGGCTCATGAAATAACAGGAGGGAGGGAGGGAGGGAGGGACGGAGAGGGAGAGAGAAACACAGAGAGAGCAAACAGAGAGATAGAGAGTATCGAGACAGGGGCAGAGAAAAAGAGTGATTAGGGCAAAGAAAGACAGAGAGAGAAGCAGAGAGAGGCTGGAGAGACTGAGAGGTGCTTGCTCTGGGCTGATAGGGCTGCAGCAGTTGTCTTGGCCTCTGCCTCCTCCTCCTCCTCCTCCTCCATGTGAGGAGGTGACCTTGTCAGGATAACCTTGAGCAGTCTGAAGTTTCTCTCTTCAGCCTATAAAGAACAGGCTATAAAGAACAGGACAGAGCCTTAGGCCATGGAGGGTGTTGAACAATGCCATTCTGAGCAGGGCCTGGATGTCCCTCTCAGTTGGTGCTGAGGATATGTGGTGCCCATGTGGTGGTCCATGATGAAGGAACAGGTGCACCTGGCCTCTGACCTTTAGATTGGGGACACTTACGGTAGGCACATCCATACACTTCCACTCGCATCCCGATCCTGCCATCTGGGTTCCAGGCCAAGGGAAGGAAGCGCAAGTGCCGGGCCTCCATGGGCGGCTGCAGCCTGTGCTGCACCACGCTGTCAGCATTTGTGTTCCCTGGGAATCCCTGCAAGGGAAGACAGGAGGCTCAGAGCACATAGGCTTTCACCCTCTCCCCCTCTTTTCTCTTCCATCCGAAGCTGAGCAACTGTCAGATCCCCCAGAATGAGATGACATGAGATACCCTTCCAGCCTGAGTTTGGTGTGTCTCCAATTTCATGTGCCCAAAGGGTCAGCGGTCTCTGGGCCTCTTTATGAGGGCACTGACCCCATCATAGGGGCTCTACTCTCATGACCTCTGAGCATGCCTCTGCGTGTCTGTAAGTGTGCACACATATGAATGTGTCTATACATGTACAGGCACACAGGGACCCAGTCTAGTCTCAGTTGCTTTGTGTCCACTCCTGCAGTCCAGTGAGCAGGAACTTTACAGGTGCTCAAATCCCATTCGTTCAAAAATCAATGGAATGTCTAAAAGTGTTTTCAGTGGGAAATTTAAATCTGTATTTTAGTAAGAGAGTCAAAACTACCAAATCGATTCGTTCTTCTCCTGCAAGTAGGAGGTCAGGTCCTTGGATGCAGTCCTTGGATCTGGCCAGCCCTCTGGGCCTTTTAAAATCCAGCCAGAGCCCTGTTTGGGCCCTGTGAGCCCATTCTTACTATAAATCCATGGGCTCACAGCCTCATGTCAGCCTCATGTGCTCCCATAGGCCAGGGGCAGAGAGAGGCTGGAACCTGGGCTGGGGTTCCCACTTCCACAGCCTTAGCAAGACGCCCCACCAGGCTCAGAGAGGCTGTTATGTAGAGCAGGGTTTAACCCTGTTTAACCCACTGCCAATCCAGGAAGTCTGTTAGGTCTCAACATTGTGAATGTGAGAACTCAAGAGTGAAATTAGTGCTTCTTAGGGTGCCTAACTCTAAATTTCTGTATGTGTTGATGATATAGTTACAGTTCCATTGTCCTGATGTCCAGGAAGGGACTCCAGCATTTAGCAATAATAAAAAGAGTGAGCACAGAGTGTGGGAACTTCCTTCTGTTGTCTTTCACTCTGGTGATCAGTTGCCATGACTTAACAGATTGCTGTGCCCTTGGGTTCCCAGGGAGCCCGGTGGTGTCCACTCACCTGGGTTGTGAGCCATCTCAGAAAGGATGTCTGTGTGTGTGTGTGTATGAGTGAGATGTGCAAGGTGAGGGCTGCCCATGAACACTGTGAACCAAGGCCAGGGGCTGATCTAAAATGGTCCCCTGAGAGCCATATGGTCCTGAGTCAGCAGTGGACCTATGGCTGCCAGACTCAGCTACTGCTCTGTAACCAGAGTTGGGACCCCCAGGCTGATGCCTGCTGCTCACCATCAGCCTTGGTGGGTGAGTGTCTGCTTCAGTACTGCTGCTCCAGGCCTCATCAGTCAGACTCTAGCAGTGCCAGCTTGGGAGGTATTATATTTCATCTAAAGTGCTCCTATGATGCTGCTAATGAACTGAAATTTTTATTTGAAAACCACTGGCACATTTTTAAACCTAAGGACAAGAGAGGACAAGGAATCCGCCCTGGTGTTGGCCTCCTGTTCTGGGCCATGCTTCCATTTGGAAGACTCCAAGCCACAGAATAAAACTGGATTTAGAGGATCTCTGTTCCATTTTCATTTTAATGGTAGCGAAATAAGCTGAAAGAAATTTTCATTTGAGAAAATATTTTTAAAATCTCCTCCGTAATTTTTGAGAAAAGTCTCAAACCTATGTGGATTAGCAGAAAGAGGGACAGGCACAATCTAGGTGCCCAGGGCCATTGACCCTCAACTCGGCCACATTCATTGTCTCACACGTGTGTGCATGCTCTCATCCACATGTACCCAGACATGCGTGTGTGTACTGCACATACCTACACATGTGCAGACATGTACAAGTACAGTTGATGGTTGCTGTTGAACCACTTGAGGTAGTCATCATACTCCTGTGGCCATCTGGCTGGATTGGGAGATGCCTAGAAGATTAGTAAAGCACCCTTCTGGGTATGGCTGTGAGGCATCTCCAGAGATCATTAGATCATGAGGGCTCTGACCTATTAATGGTTTTATCCATTGGTGCATTCAAAAGTGGAATGGACAATTGGGAGGTGGTGGAACTGAGGTAGGTGGAGCCTGGTTGGAGGAAGTGGGTTGCTGGGGGGACATGCCTTTGAAGGGCATATCTTGGTCCCTTCCTGTTCCTCCTCTCTGCTTCCCAGTCACAGTGAAGTGAGCAGCCTCCTAACACATGTGGCTGTCCCCATAATGTTCTGCCTCTCCACAACCCTGTGGCAATGGATCCAGTCAATCATGGACCAAAACCTTTGCAACCATGAGCTTAAACAAACCCTTCATCCTCTCAGGTTTGAAGTGACAAAAAGTCTGACTAACACACTTCCTGACCTTAGATTCAGTGCATAACTCCTAAAAGTAGGCTCTCTCAAAGTAACTAGAAAATTCTCATTGATACTAATTCAGTCGTCATGTTCGGGAGGACACTGATATTTATATTTATACCTTCTGTACAGCCCTCCACCCTGTGTTTTCAGTTCATGGTGTTGAAGTTTTTGAATAGTCTGATATTAGGACTTGTAAACCGGGACATTTTTGGGTTTTTTTTCTTTTGCTCCCTCCTGGCCAAGATCAGGCCACACATTGTGACAAAAACACTCCATAGATGAGGCCGGGGACCCTTCACAGTGACCTACCTACCTACCTTCCTTCTTTCCTTCCTTCCTTCCTCCTTCCCTTTCTTTGTAGTGGGGTTTGAACTCAGGACCTTGTACTTCCTAGGCAGGCACTTTACCAGCCATTGATTGATTGACAAATGTTCTTACCAAAATTTTGCTTTTGGTTGGCCTCAAACCTTGATCCTCCTGATCTCCACCTTCTAAGTAAGTAGGATGACAGGTTTAAGACACTATGTCCAGCCAAAAGGTGAGCTTCTAACACCAGTGCCCTTCTAGATGGAATCCTCATGCTCTCTGTTCAGACTATCCATCCATCTATCTAATCTTTATCTCTATCTCAACACCAGTGGAGCCCTGGCTCCCATGTGGTCTGCTATAGAACATTGTCTTCACATATTCAACCTGTCACAAATTCACACAAATGGGAATTCCTCAGGCCAGTCCCCTAAGCATAGCCCCAGCACCAAAGCTTTCCTTGTTTGGTGGCTCCATGAGGGACTCCCAGCCCAGCTGGCATTGCTGCCCTCGTTCCTTCAGCACCCATGTTCTGGGAATTCTAACATCTACTCTAATAATTCAAGAATGGTGGTAACAAACATATCATTTTATAAATCTTCTATTATCTGTTAACAAAATAAGTCTTCGATGTATTTAATGTATGTTTTGAATATATTCAGATGCCTTGTTGCTAATACCATGGTGTTTATGTGAATTTTAAGAAATTGCATCTTGCATGTTCCTGTCACTATAGCTAAGTTCTTAAGCATCTTAGCTAATTTCTTATTGATAAAGAAATTAAATGAGATACCCCAAAGAAAGCTTGTGATGTAGTTTTTGGAATATGTGACTGTAGAGGTCTTACCTCTTACACTACATTGCACTTCTCATTCAGCCAACTGTAGAGTCTATATTCAGATGCAGCCACTTATCTTTTAGTAGGGTCTGCACCAACCACGATGAGAGAAAGGACAAGTACAAAGCCCCATTCTTGCTTCATTTCCTCAAATCTGAGAATCAGATTTCTATAATAATAAGAATAAATTTCCTCTTTGAAAATATGCTGCCTTTGGCAACCCTACAAAATTAAAAATCCTGCTTTAGCAACGTGAATAGTGGGGCACCAAATCACACAGGACTGAGTTCAGCCCTGAGATGTCACTTGTGAGGTTCTGTGATCCCTACTGTCCTTCCCTGGTGGACATGGGGCACCAGGTGGTCATTGTGGATGGATCTAGATGGAGGGATTCCCAGTGAGGTGTAGATGTGTGGCTATTTAATGCTGAGCACTGGAGCTGCACACAATGATAACTCCACACTGCTCTCTCAGTTGTCAGGGACATGGGAAGGCCTCACATTGATCATGGATTAGCTTGCTGTAATTTGGATAACAGTCAATAGCTTTAAAACCTCCATAACCACATTCCAAAGTTCAAGTTTGATTATTATTTAATAAATGATCAACCTAAATGATTCATATTCTTAGGTTACTGGTAAAAGAGTGGCCTAATGTGGAGATTTCTGTCTTATGTTTGCTATAATTGTTTTAAAAATAATGTAGTTAGAAATGAATGAATAATAGCAGGGGTTAGTGAAATTTCTGTTTTACTTTGTCACACTTGCTAGCAAAATATAAACAACCAAACACAATATCAAAACTCAGGACATCTCAATAACCCTAAATTTTCTACACAATTGAATTGCAATGTAAGAATAAATAAAAACTCTATTGCTCATGGCTATAAAGATGTCTCTGGAAGAGCATAGTCTACAATTTCTGATTGAGGTTATACACACCCAGAAAGATCAATGAGCAGTTGATTGGCAATAATTCCCAGTAAGAGGATATTTTGCTCTTGTAGTTTTGTGTTTAGAATTAAAGTGTGAAAGGCTGGAGATGCAGCTCTGTGATAAACATCTGCCTAGCATGTGCAAAGCTCTGGGTTTGATCCTCAGCACTGAAAAAAAAATTAAGAGTCAAATCCCCCCACATTTGATGCGCAAGTACTTCAGAGGACATTCTGCTTGGAATGTGTGTGTAGTGAGAACAAGGGACTCACCAAGTTGCCTTTTGTGTGTTTTTGAGCCTCTGAAGATCACTAATAATTAAACATGTGACCACATTTAGTGCTCAAAGAAAAAGCTGGTGAACTCAATCTTGGATTAAACTCAGTGGATATGAGTTGTTGGTGATATTAGCAAGATCCCCTCCTATCTCCCAGCTAATCCTGCTTTAGCTGTGCAGTTAAAATGTAGGATATTACTGGAACCAAGGAAGCCTGAGGAGTCAGGATCTCACACTCTGGAGCTGACCCCACTCACTTGGCACAGGCTTGGCTTGGGGGATCAGCAAGAGTTTCAGCAAAAGCAGAGG